AAAATGTACATTTTTCTATATTTATTTTTTAACCAATAAAATCATTGGATTTTAGTTTTTGAAAAAGTTATAATTATGTATAGATAGCACTACTTTCTCTCATTCAAACGATATATATATCGACTTTGAATACAAAGAAATGACCAAAAACTTGTGCAAAAAGACAAAATTTTAAACGAACGGGACAGTTTTTCCCCCTACAGTATTATTAATAAAGAAGGAGAGAAATCGAATTTACTACTAAGATACTACGATTTTGCATATTCGCTTCGCAACAATCAAGCCCTCGTATAGATCAATACTATGAAAGGCTGGACTGGATTATATGTGAATACAACACGTAGAAAGACATGGCTTACAAATTTACTGAGTTTATTAAAGATGCATGCATTGAATACCCCAAAGAGTAGCACACATTATTATGTTGCCTTTGTTGCAGAAGCGGGCCCATACTGTTTAATTTCATTAATAGGATGCTATCTATTGCACGGCATGAGATAGTAAAAAGATAACATACATGAAAAATTGTCTTTTAATACTATCTATACGATACAATGTTTGCCACAATATTCATTAGATACTGTTTCTCAATCGCTTGATGACCGTGTGGAATATACAAAATAATCCAATCAGACTGCAGATAATAATCTTCATAAACTGCTACTGTAGTGGAATTAGGTTCTCGAAACTTTGTGGTACTATATTCGCTTTTACTATGCCATCGCGTTGTTGAACAGTTCGTAATATATGACTGTTATTTTGAATGTGTACTAGAGCTGATTCGTTTAAAAGTTACTGGCAGATAAATGTAAAATTATCAAAAAGTTTCCGCATAGAATGTTACAAAGTGTTTTTTTATTTAATGGTGTTGTGAGTATAAGTAACAGATTTAGATAAATGTATATGTCTCAGCAGTATAAGTGAGAAAAAAAAATAACCTTTATTATTTTTGATATTCATATTAACTATAAAAGTTACTAACAAAGTCTGTGTGCACCTGTGTCGTGTGTATAGGTATAGTTTTAGAGTAGACTTAGATAAATGTATATAAAAGAATAGAATTGAGATATAAGATGATCTTTATTGTTTTGCAAACTAAGTTGATATTTATATTAAATTAAAAAAAGTTACACACAAAGTCTGTGTGTACCTGACACCCGACAATGAAAAAAAAGGGGGAGCTTGCTTCTTTTATACTGACGCCGAAAGCTCACGTCTGGGCCACACTTCTTTATATAAAGACGCTGATGGTCTCACGTCTGACATTTAACTAACATTGAATTCTTATATGTGGTGAGAAAATCTTAGTATTGTCAAATTGTGGTTTCTTTTAAATATATCAAATTTTCATGGGTAAGAATGTAATGAATTGAAAAGGTTGAAATTGATTTGATCGAATTGACTATTCCCAATAACGGAAAATAATTTAGTTAAAATGTAATGGCAGAAGGTTCTTTAAACTATTCCGGTAATATGAGTATTGCTGGTTGCTGGCTAGCAAATTCAGAGTGAATTATTTTGGAGTTGTACTGTATAAACGTGCATTCAACTACTATCAAGGTAAGCTCTAGGCCATGGTATGGTATAGCACCACGGAGGTTTCATATATCGGATACTGGAAAATATGAACACAAAAGCGCCATCGTAGTTAATCAGAGATTAAAGGCTCTTCTTCCAAGAACATAGCGTATCTGATCAAGTGATTTCTTGTTTGCTATTTGGCTATGGATTGCGTGATATGTTGTTTCAAGGCAACACTTGTTGGTATAATTGGCCTTGAGGGGGTTATACCGTAGTCAAACGAAGGTGAATGGCCATTACAGTCCAGCATTTAATCCAACTTTTGTTAGCATTAATTTATATAAGGTTTTATCTAGGGAGGCGAAGGTGCAATACCAAAATAGTATTCAAGCATCTGGCCCAATACATGATAACAGCGATTTTAAAGGTGGTTTTACCGTAGCGAAGCCAAAATGTAAAGGCTTGGTGTTTAAATAGCATATTCGGTTTCTCATTTCCATTATCATTTTGAACTGGTTTTACAAGCTCATCGTCTATCAATCCATGACAACTGGGAAAGAATTGTACCTGTGGAATACATCCACTATGATCTGCATTCCGACAGTTCATCCAGTTACCAGATTTAGATATAAACTGTATGTACACTGGATTAGATGTACGATATCGATTTATACTGTAAGAAGATATGGACTTCAGATACGCTAGTACTATAAGATTCATACTATATAAGATATAGGCTATAGATGGCACCACGGACATGGATGGCGCTATAGACTTATACTTGTATTCCGACATTGACTACGGATGTTTACCATATCTGGATAGGCACCAAGATTAATGCAATATGAGCTTGTTGCTTTAGATGTGCACTTTATGATCCACGCTATAAGACACATGCTTATATCCGTGATACTAGCTACAGATACTTTATGTACTACAGACTTGTGCAATATATGAGACATGCCATATATCCAGATACATGCTAAAGATGTATGCTCAGCGATATACACTCAGATATATATATATACTATTGATATAGACTAAGAAGACTGTACCTATTGGATACATGCTACTAGATCGATATTAATTATCCTCATAGAAGAGATAGATCAGGGTACTTCGGATGAGAGTCTAATTATTCATCCAGGCAAAGCTAAATCATGATTAGCTTGCTGGAGTTGTCTTTTAGCATGATTAGACATTAGTTGATCTGAGTTAACTTATTTGTCAATCTAATTACCAGAACTTTTATCCGTTGTTATAGTATATAAGAAGGATCATCTACCAAGCCAGTAGAGATACTTCAGTTTACTTTACACCTGTCAGTTTGATAATAAAACATACCTTTATCAAGTTGACTTTATTGTTTTTTTTATTGTTTTTTTTCCGTGAATTTTAGTCTATAAAGCCTCAAATTCCACAGCTGTAATTCCTGTTAGTTGTTCTGTCGAACGCAGTATGGGAGGGATTCTCTTTTTGATTTTTGGCAATACACTGGGTAAAAGTCAAGATTATTTGAACGAACGGGACAGTTTTTCCCCCTACACTAGTAACACCCCAATTCCATTGTTGTAATTCCACTCAAATCTTGCATCGATTCAATATCAATTAGTTTGCATCTATCCTGAGTCAGAGTCCAGAGTCAAATTCACATTTCAAATTGGTAATCCTTGGTTATCAGCGCGCAACCTCATTTAGATCCCTGACTAATTCATCGATTCAACAACATCGATTCCAAATATTGATTAGATCTTCGACTAAGCTTGACAAGAACACCACGAGTACACGGATAGGTAGCAGCAACAGAATAGAAATGACTTCAATGAGTAAACACCAACATTGATCAGCAACGCACCAAATAAAGATCGCATTGACTAGAATAACAGTATCAATGAACCATCAAGAGATAACATACAATTTTATAGCAAATATATGAGTGTGTCAATGCACCAAAACGCCACACCAACGAATAATCTTTCAAGTAAGACATAGTAGATAAAGTATAGAATTACACCTAGAATCCACCACCTTTACGCCTTTTTCATATATGGTATATTGCCTTTTCAGGAAATCGAGATAGAGCCAAGTAACCAAAAGAAAGATACACACGTATCATCATCTGATACTCTGCGGTGCTGGTTTTGTGAAATGTGTAGCGAAATGTGTGGAAGATCTTGCAGTAATAGTTGATCCCGAGAAAAAACCAAGTAATTAAAGCTAAGTTACTGATGTGTTGCAATAACCTTGATATAGACAGTATCTCAGCGATTAAATGTATATATAACGTTATGTACCCAAAAGATTTTAAACGTAAGAAAGTTCAATTTATTTCCAATGTGTTGTATAGATCAAAATATATAAGTCAAAGTATAATGTAAGAGTAACCAATTTCAACACCAGTTCAGGAAAAGCGTTCTGATAGGCTCAGAGTTCAGATACCGCTTCTTGAAATCAGCACCACCACAAAATTCTTTTACCATCGTAACACATCTGTCTGGGTTGAAGGGTATTCTGACAGTGATTTAGATCTGCAGGATATCATTGACAGACTAAACACAAACAAGAATAAGAAGCGCAGGTTTAAGCCTAGAGCGCCAGCTACCAGGAACATTAAACAGCGATTAACCTGGATAGCGCACAACATTACACAAACTATATTGGATAAAATCAATATTCAAATCTAATATTAATAACGCACCTTTTTATCCATTCAACTAAAAGGCTATAACATCTTCCTGCACACTCTCTATATCTACTTCCATTTATATCTCGATCAGATCTCAGATTACATATACTACCTCTAGGTATTAGCAACTGACAACACATAGCGGGGGGAAATGGTGTAGTGGCTATCACATTCGCTTTGCATGCGAAAGGCCCCGGGTTCAATCCCCGGTTTCTCCAACCGTATTTTTTTTTTTACAATTCCTTAAATACATGGAGTGTAACCTATGATTGTCTTATGAGCTATATAATGAATCAGGCATAAGTTAAAAGACGACATTTATTGAGTTTGACAGTTAACTCTAATGTTTATACTATTTAAGTTGTTGAACAAAAGATGTAAATAGCTACGCCAAACACCTTTGCCAAAATAGTGTTGTTTTGCATTTTGTCGGTTTTAGTTTATTGTCGCACTTCACAGGTGTATGTACAATATTTTCATTTTCTTCCATCTTCAGCTCTTTTATACACTAACGACACATAAAAATCACACCGAGTTGAAGAGAAAGTGGAAACAAGAACTAGAAATTTGTTAAAAAAAAACAGGAATAAAGTGATATAAATGTTCAGAATGGAAAATACAATTAAAAATTATACATAAGTGGTAGCTATAAAAGAGGAAAAAAGCAAGGATGGAAGCTTTAGTTACATATCCCTGGATATGTTGGTTTTGATGTTTGTATTCTTGTTGCGCATGTCCGAAATAAAGAAAATAGAAAAAAAAGGCAATGTAATAATGAAAAAAAAGTATGTGTTTATACAAAGTATTGACCTCCAGTGCCACCCATTTTTGATCCACCCATACCATTTCTAGCAGAGAATGGAGCAAAACGATCCTGATCTGGGACAGCATCGAATATTTTGAACTTTGTGTCGTTGTCACTCACTTCCATGATCGAAGCCACATTACCACAACGATAGCAATAGTTAGGTGCAGACCAGACTGTAACTAGTTCATCATTGGGAAACATGTATTTATATCCTTCTTGCACCAGTTGATGTGCTCTTGCAATCAATGATAGTCCATTGATATGATTGAACTAACAAAAAAAAAGCGTTAATTACTAGGCCGTATTCGACTGTTCCTAATTCTACTACCTCACTTGTCACTTTGCCTCCAAATAACCAACCAGCACCTCTAGGACTCACTGCCCATGTATCTATATCCTCAGGATCAGACCACATCAAATCACAAAATGATCCCTCGTGAGGAATCTCCTGTAAACGGTGGATAGTTCTCATTTGATCTAGGGCCTTGATATCTGGTGATAAACCGCCATGAACACACAGAATAGATCCATCGATAATCTAGAGCATCTATTAATATCCACGCTTCCACCTCTGTTTTCCAAATATGAAATACTGTACAGCAGCCAAAGTTAGGTAGTCAAACACCGAGCAGCAATATTTCCAAACATTCGCATTTCCGTATTTTGTTTGGCATTCGTCTTTAAAATGTGATATTAATAAGCTGCCCTGAACCAAACCTCTGCCATATCAGATGTTACCATAGAAACCATATACTTGAGTAATCTGTCTACTTTCATGATTTCCTCTTAATAAGGTAATTTTGTCGGGATATCTAAACATAACGAACAATTAAAGCTGCTGTGCAGATATCAAGATGAACTTCACACTTACTTTGCTTTCAAGACCATTAAAAGAGTGAATGTCTCCAAACTGAAGTAACCACGGTCAACATAGTCACCCTGACCGCGAATCAATACCGTATCATTCCATTGAAGTCCAAAATCAACACTTACCATGAAAATATAATTTGTGTCTTTCACATCTCCACCGACGTTGAATAGCTCTAGTAAGTCATAGAATTGACCTACGAGATGATGTTAATTTCTAGCAAGAGTGGCCAAACATCCCCATTTGATTTACCATGGATATCGCCACATACAGTTACAGGGGACTGAACAGGTTGGATATTGGATTCTTCCATCAATAGTTCTTTGACCTAGACCCAAAAAACCCATTAGTTATAAACGGAGAAATTCGAAAAAAGGGAAATTGATCACACAGAGAAGGGACGCGCAACCTATAACATCATTACTGTAATTCACTTACCATCTCGCACAGTTTCTTGATATCTTGTTCAGGTAAATACTCGCATTTGCGAACGGTTTCTAACCACTCATCTGGATTTCCCATTTTGAATTGAATTGATTATTGTTGAAAGAGAGGGTTGTTGTTGTGGAATAGAATGAAATATGAAAAAAGGTCTATAAAATACTTTTTTTTTTCTCTGGATAATGAGATTGGATGTTTGTTATCTGGCGGTTCTTTGTTGTATAAATAAATGTGTTAATGTCTATATCAAAAGAGACGTCTAAAGTGACCAAACAACAGTAAAAAAAGAAATCAGAAGAGAAGGAAAAGACTAAAATAAAACTTGGACCCCATTCAATTCTATTTGAAATGCTGCTCACTGGTCAGCAAGTATATCTTGCCCTACTTGTTTTCATCCACCGCAATAAAGTGGATCTTTTGTGGGTTGGATATCATCGTTGCAATTTTAATGGAACAGATGGTATTCAGGAGAACATGCTATTGCATTGTTATTTATATAAACCCCTATTTTTCCTTTTATTATCATATGCAATTTTTGTTTCTAAAAACAGTGTTGATGAAATAAACAATAAGCTTTTGGGGTTCAAACCAAACGAGATTGCTCTGTCCTGGGTGTATGTATGATATTAGTGTCATTGAAGAGTGATACTGAATAGCCTAAAAGCATTTTTTATTCACCATAGAAACTTCAACCAGGGTGCCAAGTGAATGCGATGCTTTCAAGACAAAGATGTCATGCGTCAAATGTATAACAGGCATAGAGGGGCTACTTTGTGATCCACTCACAAGCAATGAAGATCATTGTGGCAACCTAAAATGACATTTATCGGCAATTTAAATTTGTCCGGTGAGAGGAAAGGTGCGTGTGGCATGGGGATGTCTGAATCTTGACAATATTCAAGGCAAGACGAGGAAGCAGCAACAGGCAAAAGCAGCAATCAACTTGGCAAAGCTGAATTTCCCTCCTTTTTAATCGATATACAATATGGCCGCTGTTGCAGCTCAGATCTCCAAGAAGAGAAAGGTATGGATACAATATAGACATGATCCATACACATCCATCATTTGCTTGGATGGATGGATGGATTGAATTGATCAACAGCAGCGATACTAACATGTTGCCTTGCTTTGTATAGTTTGTAAGTTTTTTTTTTTTTTTCCCTTGTCAATGTTGAATTGTTAGATCATGATGAATGTATATACACAAGCTAAAGTACAACGACTTTATCATCCTTCATATCGCTCGACATACATTTAACAACAACAATTACATTATCACAACAAAACGACCAGTCTATTGATTCTTCATTTGTGTATAGGTCGCTGATGGTGTTTTCTACGCCGAATTGAACGAGTTCTTCACTCGTGAACTTGCTGAAGATGGCTATGCTGGTGTTGAGGTCCGTGTCACTCCTGCCCGTACCGAGTAAATATCCATCTAGATTCGACATTTTGGAAAATCACAGACATTAATCTTCAACTGTTAAAATAGAATCATCATCCGTGCCACTCACACCCAAAACGTTCTTGGTGAGAAGGGTCGTCGTATCCGTGAATTGACCACTCTTGTCCAAAAGCGTTTCAAGTTCCCCGAGAACGCTGTTGAGCTTTATGCTGAACGTGTCCAAAACCGTGGTCTCTGTGCCATTGCCCAATGTGAGTCTGTCAAGTTCAAGCTCCTTAACGGTTTGGCTGTTCGTCGGTAAGTTGATATACATGATTAGTATGAGGGAGGTTTTGTTGTTGATGTGGTTTGTGTCTGTTAGTGCCTGTTATGGTGTTGTCCGTTTCGTCATGGAATCTGGTGCCAAGGGTTGTGAAGTTGTCGTCTCTGGTAAGGTTCGTGCCGCTCGTGCCAAGGCCATGAAGTTTGCTGATGGTTTCATGATTCACTCTGGTAACCCTGCTCGTGAATTCATCACCACTGCTGTCCGTCACGTTGATTTGCGTCAAGGTGTCTTGGGTATCAAGGTCAAGATCATGTTGGATAACGATCCCACTGGTCGTAACGGTCCCAAGCAATGTCTTCCCGATATTGTTACCATCCTCGAACCCAAGGATGAAGCCGCCATCACTGAACCCTCTGCTCAAGATTTCAGACCTGCTCCCGCTGCTCCTGCCGCTGAGCCTGTTGAAGCTTAAATAAATTAAACATCTTTTTATATATTTCAATATAAAATCTCTTGATTATCAATTGCATTTATACATTGGTTTAGAGAGAGGATATGATGTATTGATGAGTACAATGGGAGGTTGCAAAACAGTGTGTTTATTTGATATTTTCGGGTAATGACAAGACATCTTCTTGATCTACGCAGTTGGTGATTCGAGTCAACCAGCGATAGATGCCTCTTGCAGCAAAATCAGCCACAGCAATGCCCAATGTGACCCAGCGAAGTGTCCAAAGCGGCAATTCAGCTACAAATTGCTTTGAAGTAGTGTATTCGTACTGAGAGTCGACATGAAAGGCAAAAATGTTGAAATGGATCCAGAACAAGATAACCAAAGAACAGCAGTACGTCAGCAGAAATCCTTTGAGGAGTTTGCTCAACCTTCTTGTGATACTATTCAATTGTTGCTCTTCGTCCTCTTGCAGCTCTTCATCATTGTCTTGTTGATCTTGGCCCAGCAGTACGATATCAAACATGTCGTTGAGAATCTTGTAAGTAAAGTAGATGTTGTTGACACTTCCCAGCAAAAAGAAGCCTAGATGGAAATGCTCCAGTTTACATAGAATCAGCTGCCAGAGTCGTTCATCAGAGAATGGAAATAAAAAATAGTAGAGTAGTTGATTTGAGAACAATGCATGCGAGTGGCTAGTGGAGGAAGAAGTAGCGGATGGTAAAATGCAGACTGGAAATGGGGAATACAATACTCGGATGGATGCTGAATTAGTGCTAGAAAGTGGCTGGATATGATGTGATGATGATAGTGATGCTAGTATAGATGTTTGGCTGCTGGTGAACAGTAGTTGAGTCAGTGAACTAGAGGCCCATGCCTGCGTTAGGCCTCCAGGATAGTTTGTCAAGAGCACAGAGAAATGGATGAATGCCTTCATGATGCTTCCTGTGAAATCAATTGAGCGTTAATTCATGTAAATTACATGTTTGTACTACAATTGCTGTATAACATGCCTGCCGGTATTAATATAAGTCCTAATAATGAAGCTGCTACCATCACTCGAAATACTGCAGAGTCAAGGTTAATGCCAGCCAGTCTTGCAAGTACGCTACTTACTCTTGTAGTGTAATAATGCTGCCCAAAGTCGTCTCTGTTTCACCCAGAGCCGATGCTTACAAAGCTGACAATGGTACAGGTCGCTTTCTCGACCAGTGTGTAATAATGCTTTTCTCCAGCCTGCCATGCAGTGAGGATGTACGTATTTTCTATGCTAGAGAGTAAGCGCATGTTAAACTGGTGAATGAATACAGCAATTTACATTGAGCCCTTGCAATGACATGGTGAAATTAAGTGATTGACTTGGTCTTTCTCAAGACAAATCTTGCACATTCGAATCTTGGAAGATGGCATTGATGCTGATGGGCGCTCAGCTTGATCGTTTTCTTTCATCATGGACTGTATTTGCTGAGGAAATGAAGTGTGAGAAGAGAAGAGACGTAAAATAAGGAGTGAGACAAAAAGAAAGATGCGTTTTTGTCAGTGTGTGTAAATGTATCACCTCTTTTATTGTTTGTACGGAATGAGCCAATGAAAGAGAGAAGCAATAAAAGGCTTTCTGAAACTGTTGCTGTTCTACAATGGCTCAAACGACATACTGGATTGATTTGAGGCCAATTTCAGAAGATGAAGATATTCAGTCTAGAAGCAGCAATATACTTTTTTGCTTCATTTATCACTACCCATGTATGAATGTAACATCCACTCCAAGGACAGTGCGAAAAAGAGCCATTATATTACAATAAAAATCACAGGTCTTTATTTTCTAAATACGCTGGACACAGAAGACCACCATGATCTCCTGTTTTGCTTGGATCGATAAAAGTCTTCATCATCGTCGTCTAATGTGGTAGATGTATTGTGTGGATTCATGCGTTGTGCTTGCTCGCCTGTGCCAGGAAAACCGCCTCCCGACATGTTGAATTCACCATTGCTCCACTCGTTTTGACGGTACGGATCGCCATAAAATTCATCGTCGTACATTTGACTTTGCTGCTGTTCTCTTGAAAATGCCTGCTTGCGATTACGTCTTTTTAACAGGACGATACCGGCTACAATGAGTGCAATACCAGCTGCTCCTCCTACGACGCCGCCTATGATGGCACCTGTAGTCGATGTTCCATTGTGATTTCCTCCATCCTCGCCGCCACTATTGTCTAATGCCAATGTAGGTATCACAGTACTATCGATATATAGAATACAGAATTAGCAACTAAGCCTATTTCTAACAATCAAGCTAAAACTTACGTAGTTGGAATGACGGTGACAATAGTTGTTGTAATGCCATTTGATACAATGGCTGTTGTGGTTACAATGGTTGTTGACACAGTTGTACTGGACAGCGTGTATCTTCCGCTGGAAGTAGGTGTGATGGACGTCGTTGGCGGCGGTGGTGGTGGAGGTAATGTAGATGTTGGGCTTGGTGTGGTTGTTGTTGGTTCCTGAGTCGGTGTTTCGCTCGTTGTAGTAGGTATAGGGGTTGTTGTTGAGGGCTCAAGTGTTGTACTGGCCTCTGTCGTCGTAGAAGGAACGGGTGTCGTTGGATCAGGAATAGATGACGTGGTGGTAGGCACAGGTGTAGAAGATGTAGGCATTATTTCTGATGATGATGATGAAGCAGAGGATGTTGGTACAACAACCTCTGACGAAGATGAGGAAGATGTAATGGCATTGGAGGACGTGGTTGTAGGGAGAACGGGGTCACTGGATGTGGTTATCTGCTGTGAAGTAGTAGAAGATGAGATGATGGGTTCAGACGATGCAATGGTAGATGTAGGAGGAGGGAGTGTAGATGAAGGTAGATCCGTTGTTGAAGTTTCAACAATAACACTGCTACTACTACTAGTGATACTTGTTGTCTCAACAGCAGTAGTAGTGGAAGGAGAAGAAGAAGAAGAAGAAGAAGAAGAAGAAGGGGTAGGGGTCTCTACACTTACAGAATCCGTTGTTGTTATGGCAACAGATGATGTAGTTGTTGTAATGGGAGGAGGAGAGGCAGTTGTACTTACACTCGCTTCCGAAGATGTTGCAGTTTCTTGCACTGTTGTTTCAGCAACCGTTGTAGTTGGATTTGCTCTACTGGATGACATGGTGTCTGATAAAGAAGTTGAAAAAGTAGAAGAAGAAGAAGAAGAAGAAGAAGAAGAAGAAGAAGAAGAAGAGGGCTGAAGTCTATTGATTTTGGATAAAAATGTATAAATAGAAATTAGTGAGATGATGGTTATATATAAACGGAGATGTTAGCAAGGCCAAGTGGTTATAAATAGTCAAGCTGGGGCTTATGATGATAGACCAGATGTCTGAACTATTCTTGGCCAGTGTTGAGTGCACAGGGGAAAAAATCAATACTTACTCGGTCGTTTGATCTAAGGATGTGGTTACTGTTGATGTTTCATCCATAGTGCTCCTTTCACTGCTGGAGCTGCTGCTGCTGCTGGTAGCAGTAGGAGTAGCAGTAATGGTATCGGACGTCGGAACTGTTGTTTGTTGTTGCCCTGTGGTGGAAGAGGCTGATTCAACTGAGGTCCTTGTGGATGAAGGCTGGTTTTCTGATGAGCTTGTCACTTCATCTGTCGACGTTACAGTAGTAGTAGCAGTAGATGTGGCAGAGGAGGTTTCTTGCCTAGTAGATGTTTCAGCATCGGCCGTACTTGTCAAAGATTCTTCCGTTATGGTTGCACCAACAGTGGTAGAATCTTCCCTGTTCGATGTAACTGTGGTACTTGGTGCTTCCTTTGTACTTGAGGTGGAGGTAGCATCTGGCTCTTTTGTAGCAGTTGGTGTCTCTCGCTCAGCCGTGGTGGTTTGAGTTTCTCTACTGGCAATTGTAGTTGTGCGATCATTGAGATCAGTGGTAGTCCTATCTGCTGACGACATTGAATGTAGTTAAAAGCAAAGAGAAGAGAGAAAGAAGAGAGAAGAGAGAAGAGAGAGAGAGAGAGAGAGAGAAAGAGAGAGATAATCTTATCCCGGCAACAGAACTAATTACATTTGTAACTTTTATAGTAGCAAGGTATGGATCTGACTTTCATATGTGTCGAGTAGTATATAGATGGCTCTCTCTCTCTCTGCCCTTCTCGATCTCATCCACAGGGCGTTGTGCTAATTTTAGGGTTCCCTTCATCATCACCAAAAAAGTAGATGTTTCTACAAATATATAGCATTTTTTTTCCAGTGTTTTGTTTATTGTATTGATTATAAATGGTCTGAGTGCTTTGGTTGTAGTAATGTATAGAATCTATCCGTTTTGAATACGTAAAATTACTTTCTGTACCAAAGTTGAGTGATCTTGGTCTAATAAAAATACAGTTTAGCTGTCAATATCGTCATGCTTAAGCTACATTAGGAAAGCCACTTACTCTTCTCATCTTCTTTTGCAATTGGAAGATACCGTAAAGTAATGCTTCAGAAGTAGGAGGGCAGCCAGGAACATAGATATCTACAGGGACAATACGATCACAACCACGGACAACTGAATAAGAGTAATGGTAGTAACCACCACCATTTGCGCAGCTGCCCATAGAGATAACCCAACGAGGTTCAGGCATCTAATAGTACGCAGCAAGTGCAATTTTAATACATCCGACCCATCACGCAGCACACACTGTCCACTTACTTGATCATAAACCTTTCTTAAAGCAGGAGCCATCTTGTTAGTTAATGTACCAGCAACAATCATAACATCAGATTGACGAGGAGTGGCACGGAAAACAATACCAATACGATCTTGATCGTAACGAGGAGCAGAACAATGCATCATTTCCTGTATGGATGAAGAACGTCAACATCTCGTTGTAGCTATACGCTTTCCACAAAACACTCACAACAGCACAACATGCCAAACCAAAGGTCATGGGCCAGATTGAACCTTCACGAGCCCAGTTTACAACACGATCAACAGTGGATAAAACGTATTCTAAAATTTTCGATATCAAATTAATATTTTGCTGCGTATTTGTCGTGGTCATCTTGATTGGCGTGGATGTCTAACCTGCACTGTTGTTGGGAGTAACTGTAATATCCTTGATTTGATCAATGTTTCTAACAACTTCGGTTGACATGAAGCGTTGTGAAGTTGTTGCCATTGTTTGAGGAGCTGTCATGGCTACGAACATGTTCATTTAGTATTTCCAAATTCTTTCGTTCTCTTTTCTTTCAGTCCATCTTACACAATGCTCTCTTGGCGAATTGCAATCCAAGTGCTGTAGTAGCCATTGTAATAATTTAAATAGAGTGGGGAGAGGGAGTGTTTATATTTTGTTTATTGGAAATTGAGGGGTTTTATTACAACGTCCTCTATTTTTTTTATCGACCCCACGATTCCAAGCTTGGGTTTGAATTGGGCTCTCTCTCTTCTAATCATCTACTAGCTTTGGATGACGTCGAGCCATCCAGATGCCCAATCAGCACTGCAATGTTCCACTGATCCCAAGATATCACTACGCATTGGCATGAATGCCCTTGATTTCCATAGTGCAAATGCTCAAAAGACACTTGAAGAATTCGCTCTTGATTACTTGAAGCACATTTCGATATACGCAGTTTGCATTCTCGCTTTGACAATGTAATGAGCCATCGTATATTCATTGAAATTTCCAACAGTAACTAGCCAGTGATGCAAAAAGTGGCTAAAACTCCCCTTGGATGTCCAACATGAAGTGTTATATTCCAGGAGCAAGATGCTTTTGGGCTGTGAATAATAAAATGCTGATGCCAGTCTTTGAATGTGTTGGACACCAAGCTATTGACACCTTTACAACAGTAATTCAAGTTGTGATATAATGCTCTTGTCCATGAGAATAGAAAACAATCATCATAGCATAGTAGATTTAATGTCCCTAAACACTTTCAAAGCCCCCAAAAAGGAAAGATATTGAGTTTACAAGTATTTCAGTGGACTAATGTTATTAAATACAGGGCTTCAAAAGGGAATAGCATCACTAGCGATCGTACTATTTAATTCGCCATTAGCTTCAAAGAAGGCATCTTGACAAGAGGGGCATTGGTCCCCACCAGCTTCTAAAGCAATTCAAACTCAGAATTTTAAACCATTCTAGATTGGCCAAATTTCAATAGACCTCGACTTGATTGATCTATTTTTCTTGATTCGATTATATAAAAGCTAATGCTCATCTCACGCTTCCCTAAGCTTTCTTAGAGAACTTTTTAAGGCGCATCCAATGGTGCTAATAAAAAGAAGTGTTTTAAACAAACTTATTGAGAGACTCTTGAAAATATGAAATACGGTTTTTGGCGGAAATGTCGAGGTTTTACATATCGAAGCTTCACAAAAATGATTTCAGGAGTTGCTTTGGATCTGCAGAAACATTTTGATTTAATATATGTATTATAAACGTTTTCATTTTGGAGGTCAAAAAAGCGATCGTTTGGTTTTCGATGAAAACCATGAGGGGTACCTCATGGTTTTTGGGTGATTTTGGTCGATGTTTTTTAGGTCCTAAAAAAGTTGAGCAAAGGTATTAGGAAGTAAGTGCTAGATGAGAGCAGTTATTTGGCGCTATTCTGGTGATCTGAAACGACTTGTAGCACGAGAAATTATAGCTTAAATGCGCCGTGATTTGTATACTCTTGAGTAGTAAGAGCCATTGATTGTATGCCTTATGCCCAAATATGAGTTGTTTCCATTAAAACTACCGTAAAGCATTTTAGAAGAGTCATATCCATAAGGGAGAATTGTCTATGGGGATTTTGAATACAACAAAGGAAAGCTTGCTCTAGCTGGAAGCTTTATAATTGTAAATAACTTTCAATGCATGATCTTTTCATCTCTGTAATGCACCATCCAAAGCTCCTAATATTATACTAAGACTGTGGACGGGAAGCTTTCTTCAGGATTTAGCCTTCAAAGGTAGTGATAAAGGATGAAAGAGAAAGAATAGCAGCCAGTGTAGTGCCTGCAGACAGATCGCTCTGAATGCGACCGATTGAGCCACCCATCGACAATGATGAAGAAATACAATCGCCGCGTGCCTTTTTAAACATGTCTCTCTCTCTCTTGCTCTTCTCTTTTATGTCTATAGAATACCAACATGCCGTATACACCTTACACATTACAGACGGTATTAAGCTCTTCAAGGATAGAAGACCCCGCACCCTCTACAAGTAGTTCAGCTTCATTTTTCTCGAGGAGACCTACTTCACCAACCTCTCAAGAGACCCTCAACACAACAACAAGCACAGCGACTGTTCGTTATACCAGCAGCTCAAAGGCTCGTATTGATTCTGTAGGTGCCTGGGGTGAGTAGCATGTTAAATAAAGAGCCCAACAAGAAGAAGGCGCTCACATCTTGTTTATTAGATAGCGATCTTTATTGCGGTACTTCTGAAGGTGTTGTGTTGCATTATTCATTAGAAGACAACTCGTCTCCAGACAAAGTACTCTAGAAACATCTGCATAGTTCACATCTGATATACTAACCGCCACTACACTAGTCATTTAGTACTCGGTTAGAAAATACCATTCATTTAGGGCTCGGGAAAAAAAGCGTAGAGCGTATATTACTGATACCCCAAGTGTCCAAAGCTGTTGTCCTATGCGGTAAACCAACACACACCGAAACAGAGTCTGACTGCATGAATAGCTAACTTGGAGCATTAGATTCAACGCTATCTTTCTTTTCGCTGCCATTCTTTGATCCGATACCCGCATCCTTTATTCAGCCTATCAAGGGAGTGTCCTGTTTTTCGCATGATATTGGAGAGGAAGGTCGCATTGGAGAGGACGGCACAGTAGAATTGGCAGTGATAAAGAGAAGAGCCATCCAGATTTACAAAATTGGTGAATCCATGCATTTGAAAAAGGAACTGCCGCTTGCTGATGGAGCAATTGCACTCACCAGACACAGTCGAATTCTTTGCTTGGCAGATACACAAAATTACAAACTAATCAACCTACAGCAATCCTCAGTAACACTGCTAATACCCACACCACAAGTGCCTGTAACATCACCTACGCTACTAGGATCAGGCACACAGTTAGTGCCTCGACCACTTGTCGCTGTTGTTCGCAAAGACGAGTTCCTGGTAGTGAGTGGCAGCAGCTCCGATAACCAAACCATTGGCATCTTTGTCAATGCCAACGGAGATGCCATTCGAGGCACATTGCAATGGACCAGCTACCCTAAAGCGCTTTGTGTGGAATTTCCCTATGTGGTAGCCCTGTTGCGCAACAACACCATCGAAATCCACAACATTTTGGATCAGCATTTGTTACAAACAATCCCGCTGGAAGCGAGTGTCGATGCAAAGGGCATGACATTTGGCCATGGGATCAAGGTGTGGATGGATGTGATTGCGAAAAGACTGAAGCGGCATATGTGGCCACGCCCTACTCATCATGATGTGGATTTAGAAAGCCAGTTACAGCGAGAGATTATTCGATACTCTACAGCAGCAGCTCGTATTTTGGTCTTTGGCAAGGATTCTGTCATGGCACAGGTAACAACGCCTCTTGTAGTTCAAGTGGATCTGTTGCTGGAAAAGCATTTGGTTGAGGAAGCCATGCAGCTGGCAGAACAGGCAAGAAACACCATGTCTAGTGATAACAATGTCTATGTGGAGCGCCTACGGTCTGAACTCAGCTACACGTACCAGAAATCTGGATTGCTACTACTAAAGGAGACGGTATTTGATGATGCTTTCACTTTGCTTTCCAAAGGAGACATGGATCCTCGTGTAGTCATCAACATGTTTGAAGGGCTAGCCCAGTCAAAATGGCTCAAGGAATCGCCCTCTGTGCTGCTGTTTGATGGAGTGATTTCACTGGTAGAAGCACTCGGCACGATCAAGAACATTGTCAACAACAGCCTCAAGGAGTTTGCAAAGGATTCAGATCAGGACAATGAAGGAGCTTCCGAGATGCGCCGCGTCTTGCTGATGAATGCAAGAGAGGCGTTGAACAAGTATCTACGTATTGAGCGAGAAAAAAGAAAGGACAGACTGGGCCAGAACGATACCATCTGTAAAGTGATTGACACCTCGTTACTCAAGATATACATGTCCCAAAAAGACGATGCATCTATCTACCAATTGCTACAACAACCCAACGACTGCAGTATTGAAGACTGTGCAAAGGCGCTTTCCAAGAGCAAGAAATACTATGCGCTTTCCATCATGTATGAGTCAAAGCACATGTACGAAAAAGTGCTGGATATTTGGACAAAGTAAGTTGCGTTTTATACTAGCGAAAGAGAAGTACAGACACCTAACACCACAGGCAACAGGATCTATCTGAGAGAACTTGTTGACTCAGAATTTAAAAACGGCTTAGAGCGCATCAAAAACCTGCTATTACAAGATGTGCATACAGAGGAGTTACCGTTGTCGGTGATTATGCATTATGCATGGTGGTTGACACACCAGAGCCCCGCAGACGGCGTGCTTGTCTTTACAAAGTCTCCTCGCACGGGGGATATGGATCCTGACGAGATTTTGGAGAAACTGTCTGATTACAGCAACGAAGGCGTGCGCACATACCTGGAGTATCTGGTATTGACGCAAAAGAGCGAGCGAGCAGAATATCATACACGGCTTGCCTGTAGCTATGTCAAGGATGTGCACAAGGAGATCAGCCAAGGCAACCAGCTGAAACAGATGAAGGCATTGGTAGAGGGCTTTATCAAGCAGACAGATCCCATGAAGATTATACCTATCAAAGACGACGAAGAGGGGTTCAACAATGCAGCCACATTCGTGGGCTATTTGGGACGAGAGCAGCAACAAACAAACCTGGTCAAACTTCGACTCAAACTGATCCAACTGCTTCAAAACTCGCAGCTCTATTCGCCCCATGCATTGCTGGATGCATTGACAAAGGCTGGCCCTTTGGACATAGAAAAAGTAATTGTGTATGGCAGAGTAAGTTGTCTACCTAGTCCAGAATGGGAGCTGTAACTGATTTTGATAACTGATGTAGATGAGCAAGCACAAGGAGGCACTTGACATTCTCATTCATCAACTGTGCGATTTTGTTGGTGCCGAGACCTATTGTGTCACCAACGGTCAAAGCACAGGTGTCATTCCAACAAGTGCGTCGTTGGCTGCTGAAAAGCCCTTACCGCCACTGATACTAGAGGATGAATATTTATCACCGGAATCACTGAATGAAAGGCGCTCACTGTTTACCATGCTGTTCAAGTCGTATATTGCTATCCAGGACAGGTAAGTTGTGTCTGTTGTGTTATACCACTTGAAATGCTCATCCAAACCATAGTAAGCTGATGATTGCACGCAGTATGCATCTATTAAACACACAAGGATTCTATCTGGATACTCTCCAAGTCCTTGAAACGATTCCCAAAGACTGGTCCATTGACATGCTTCAAGAGTTTTTGATACGATCCCTGCGACGATCACTGGATGATTATAACGAGAGCCAAATTGTGCTTGGCCTCAGTCGTGGCGAGAATCTATTAATAGGCAGTGATCTGATCCGCACGTACAAGGAAATTGGCCCCATCTCAGTTGACAATCATACGGCTTGTATCAAATGCCATCGAAACGTAGGCGACAGCATCTTTGTGCGAGAGAGCCAACATGGACAATTGTTACATTTGCACTGCGCCAAACTGCTAGGCTTGGTTGATGAAGCATCAGCAGCAGCAGCAGATGGGGAATAATAAAGGAATACTTTTTTTTTGGGGGGTATCCATTGTGTAATCAAATGATATACATATACAAACGATGACGGTTCCACGTGATGTAGTATGGTCTATAGATACCAAGATAGCATCATTTCCAAACACTGGTTTCTTTCTCTCTTTCTACAACATGTTGAAACCACCTAGCTACGCAAAGATTCAAAAGCCACTGCTACATCCTCCTACGTACATTGCTTATAAGAATATCCGTTTCTTAATCACGGATACACCCTGCCTTAACAACATGTCGAGATACATTAAAGTAAATGAAACAAGGGGAAGATCAAGCCGCACAGTTCATACTCACCCACCGAGTTCTCATTAGGAGTTTGAGAGATGGAATGTGACAGATGTCGTCCGATGCTGTGAGGCCACCTACTCACAGACTCTATTGAACCAACATGGCATTCAAGTCCACGATTGGACATTTTCAGATGGTGGGCCTCCACCCAAGTGTGTCATTGATGAATGGCTGGATCTGATTGATGTTCGATTCAAGCATCCAGAAGAAGACACATATGATGATTTCTATGGTGCGCTCAACAAGCAACAGCCATGTATAGCAGCACATTGTGTTGCCGGTCTAGGAAGGTATACATGGCAACATGGAAACCAGAGTGTGATGCATATGGCTCATACTGTTTAGCTTTCTAGAGCACCCGTGTTGGTTGCAATCGCATTGATTGAAGAGGGCATGGAACCACTGGACTCAATCGCCTTTATTAGGAATCTTCGAAAGGGATCCATCAACAATAGACAGCTGAAATATCTCGAAAGCTACAAAAGACGAAAGCGCTCTTCAGTCTCATGTTGTATTTCGTAGCAGCAATCACTCTCTTTTTAATCAGTATGTGTATATATTTGTAAATTTTTAGTTTTGCTGTTTTCCCCTTTGTGTTTCTATTAAACATGGCCAAATGAGTATAATAAATGTGTCATGATGCGAGCTTTATTAAGGTACCCCTTTTTTTTTTCCCAGTTTACTTGATTTGTTCTATTTCACCAACTTTTGTAAACAGAAAAGAGATTCTGCTGTACTCTATATACACATCGCAATGAATGAAGGATATCATAATTAAACTTGTACATGTGCTTGATTCGAGTATTGCAATTACTGCAACATATAAGCAGCAGCAGCAACAGCAACACCCACAGCAGCTTTTGACATTTGGAATGTAGTCATGGATCCACTGGTAGAAACAGAGGCAGAGGCAGAAGGTACCATACCAGAGTAAGAGTACCCGGGAGCCCAAGTAGAGGCAGATGGCCAACCGCTTTGAGACCATGGGGTGGATTGACCCATGGTAGATGCCCCAGAAGGAACCCACACAGGAAATGTTGGCCATTGAGAGGATTGCCCATTGTTATTCCATTGAGATGAGGTAGGTTGAGCCCATATGGTGGAAGACCCTTGTTGCCAAGTTGGTGTAGGTTGTTCCCATCTGTTGGAGGCTGAATTGGGATCAGCTCCAGGCCAGTGATAAGCAATGCATCGAGAGTAGCATTCGTTACTACGGCACTCTGAGATACACTGGTTGGTATTACCAACTAGGGTAGAAGAGTCAATTTCCCTTGTATCTGCTGCTATCAATGTCTTTTGACTTACCGCATTCACCGAGACAGGCACTATCTGCGGAATCACATTCACATTGAGCATGAACAGAGGCTACAAGGGCAGCAGCAGCAGCGAGAATATAGACAGATTTCATGGTATCGAGTGATGGAAACAAAACAAGAAAAAACAAGGAAGATTGCAATGAAGCTTCTTTTATATACAGTAGGTTTCTAATTTACTTGCCATTCATTATTCACCATGTACAAGCATCTAACGTGCAGATTAATCATAGTGCATTCAAGTATTGTTATGATATGAATCATCTACTGCTTGCTTACATTGCACTCCTTTAGCAACAACATCAATTTCATTCAATCCTGTTGTGTGTATAACGCGCCTCCTTGCGCTTCAAAGCACTATACTACTTATTTGACAGTAATTATTAAACGTAATTGTTGTAATTCACTGCATAATTCGTCACGTAATTCACTCCCTTTGTCGGCAGTACTTTTACATGATGTCCCTAGGTTCCCTTATGTCCTCCTTGCTTTTGATTTTAATTACAGTGCTATTGTTCTCTCCAATGTCAGACAAATCTATCTGATTTGACAGGATCAATCAAGGATCAAATACATAAATTGCTTTTGTGTACTATATCTATCGAATTCAATATATAAATCGTTTAATGAGAGAAACACGGGCAAACCAGTACCCATTGCTACATGAGATAGTTGCATTACATACATAAGAGAACGACGCAATGAGCATGATTTTTGCAGATCTACTAATTCTATTCTAATGCGGACACAAATTCAACGATTAAATGCCGATTGTAACGCTTCTGTAATTCATGTTAAACATGCTATGAACCATGTCGCCAAGCCAAATTACAATAGTTACATGTATACATCGCATTAGTAGGATTTTTTCTACTTGGATGTGCTGCACATTTATATAGAATTTCATCACGAATATTCTCTCATTTAAAGACGGATGCTTCAATTCATTGCTAGTCTTGTGAATAAATCAGAAAGAGAGTGCTAATGGCTTTTAATCAGCCATAAGGTCACTTATACAGTATATCAATAAAGTTTATCTAGTTCTTAATGTCCATGATCTGGCCAAACATCCACTCTGAATAGACCTGGTGATTAGGCCAATCTAACCAAGTCTTTAGTTTGATGTAATACAAACCATTGCCTATTCAATCCAAGAAGCTCATCCTCCTATTACTTTATATGGTACCAGTATCACGATTCTTCCAAGGAAGGGGTATAATCAATTATTACATGTACCCATTCACTGATTTCAAAGCCAAACTTGGGTGGTGATTCTCTTGTTTTTTTTTTGCCTGTACTCATCACATACCGACCCAGCCCTTTTCCTTTTCACTCTTTTGATGATAACGAGCATCGATTGAAATGACTCACTAGATGAGTCTTTATCGCAATCGTGGTTAGAGTCACAGCAAGTATAAATAGTGTGTGTGTGTGTGTGTGTTCATCGCATTACTGTGTTTCATCTCCTTTTGTATAAACTCCTTCTCTTTCCCCTTTCTCGCTCCCTCTCCTATTGATTTGACATTTGAATACCATCATGCCTACTGCTGATTTGCTCGACAATCAAGTCTTTTCAGGTTTTCTTTTAGTTGCAGCAGGTTGTACGCTCGCATTACAATCTGGTACATGTTATTCATGATGGTGTGGATAGTGGTGGTTCGTTGTTTCCTTAACACAATTTCGAAAAAAAATAGGGTGCAATGCTACACTCACAAGATATGGAGGTAGATCATTCTCATCAGTCATGTCCTTTGGCGTGGGCCTGCTATGTTGCTTGATCTTTTTCGGTGTGGATATTGGTGCCTTGGGTACACCGTTACCTACAGATCATCTATTAGGTAAATGTCAAATCGAGATGTTTAGATACACACATGCACATATCCACTCACATGAATCTATAGAGGCACCAGGCTATGCTTGGATTGGTAAGTCTCATCTCTTTTGCTATGCGGACATTAGCAAAAACTCACATCTTTCGTTTAAGGCGGCCTTTGCGGGTTCTTTTACGTTGCTTCCAACATTTTGGCTGTACCTCGATTAGGTGTGGGAACTTCGTTGGCTCTGTTTGTGTGTGCACAGGTACTACAACGCCCTTTATGCTGTCTTGATTTGCAGAAAAATAGAATACTCACACAATTGAATTAGGTTATTACTGCTTGTTTGGTTGATAATTGGGGATTAGTTGGTGTGGAAGTTCGGCCCTATACCACATGGAGAATATTGGCCTCTTTAGGCGCTGTGTTCTGTGTGTTTGTGATTACTAAATACTAATAAATGCTCTACAGTATATTGCATGTAGTTGTTTTAGATCAGAAAACTCGTTTTGTGTACCTGAATAAATCATTGATTCGTTTTTTCAAATAAAAGTATAGTTTATTTTGACAGATGAATAGGCTAAATCAAGTGGTTGGGTGAGCTGAATGAGGAATATATATATATAAATATTGTATGTGGTGGTAGGAGTAGATGCGAAAGATTGCTATTTTTTTTTGTCTGCTACATTTATATAATAAGGATCAAGTACGTGTCTACAAGAAAGTCGATCTTTGATTTTAAGCATTGTTACGAGCAGCGCGTCTGGCACGAACACCCTCTCTCAAGGTATCCAACACCTTAACAGTGTCTTCCCAATTGATACAAGCATCAGTAATTGATTGACCGTAATTCAATTTTTGAGGGCCCTCCTTGGGAATATCTTGACGACCTTCATTAATATTAGACTCAATCATGACACCAACGATATTATTGCCAGTTTCTTCGGGATGAGCTAATTGATTTGCTACATCTTGTGCAACAATGGGTTGACGGTTATGATCCTTGGAGGAGTTGCCATGACTACAATCCACCATGACAACAGGCTTCAACTTGTGTTTAGCAAGATCAGCAGCAGCAGATTTGATATATTCAGCACTGTAATTGGGTCCAGATTTACCGCCACGAAGAATGACATGACAAGCATCGTTACCAGATGTTTGGACAATGGCAGAAAGACCTTGCTTTGTCACTGACAAGAAATGGTGACCATGACTAGCTGCTCCAATGGCATCAATGGCAACTGTCATACCACCATCAGTACCGTTCTTGAAACCAACAGGGCATGAAAGGCCAGAGGACAACTCTCTGTGCACCTGAGATTCTGTAGTACGTGCGCCAATGGCACCCCAAGAGACGAGATCGCCAGTGTATTGAGGAGAGATTGTATCCAAGAACTCACAAGCAGCAGAGATACCCATTTCATTCTGTTGGCAGAGTAAATCAGTCAACTCGATCATGATAACCCCTCACCCTTTACGCCACACTTACCAAATCCAACAACAGCTTGCGAGCAATACGAAGACCCTTATTGATTTGATAACTATAAATGACAGATTCAGTTTTGGTGTCACCCAACATTTCATCATGATAGCCCACACTTACGTATTATTCAATTCAGGGTCATTAATAAGGCCCTTCCAACCAACAGTAGTTCTGGGCTTTTCAAAATAGACTCGCATAATGATGTGTAAATCTTCTTTGGCTCCAGCGGCATAATCAATCAAACGCTTGGCTTTAGAAAGGCAGTTAGTACAAGAAAAGCCAGCTGTCATTAAATCCAACATTGTTACCATATTCCAAACCAGCATCCACATCATGAATAGAACAAGGACCTACGACAACTAAAAGACGATCATCTTTACCATGGATGATATCTTCAGCGCCTTGTCTACCGTCTAAAATAGTTTGAGCAGCCTTCAAAGTCAAAGGGAGATCTTCCATGAGGATTTGAGGAGGGATCAAGGGTTTGATGTGCGCAATACGCTTGTCATCGAATTCATTGAGCGCAGAGAAAGCAGACATGTTATCTTGTGGTTAGGTAATATAATAAAGTGTGGAAAGAAAAGGAAAACTTTTTTTTTTTCTGATTGTTGTTTTATATATGTGCATCAATGTGTCAAATGTCTCTGAATCGGAACTTGTATGGCTCAATAGCATTTCGAATGGAATTGTACGATACTCTTTGAGTCATAATGGCGGTGACTACTGTTGATCGATGTTATTCTGCTTGGGATATCATAAGGATGAGCATGAAATCGGTTAAAGGTTAGGAATCCCATCAGAATCAGTAAAAATCATTGCATATTAGTCTTAAACATTTTAGCATCAAGCAATTGATCAGAGCATGAACTCAAGTCATGCACAAATAGGGTATATTTGACACGTCAAAAATTGTATCATTAAACATTATCGCAAATAAAGAAAATTTTCGGTTTACGACTCAGTTTCATCTGAAATCTGAAAGCTTATCGAGTTTTCTACTCTTTCGGTATATCGGATTTAGTCCTTGATGATGTATAAGGTACAAAGCAGAATGCAAAACCCGATAGTGAAAACTAGGCCTGATCTCTTATTGCAATACACGATATAGAACACTCTTAAACATTTGACACTAAAATCATGGAATGCCAAACTGAAGTCATTAGTAACTGCATGAGTGATCTAGGTAGATCAATAGAGATCTCATGCAATGCGGGGATATACGCCATTGCCTTAAAGGTACTTATCATTGTATGATGGCAGCTTTGAATTTCACTCGTTTTATAAAACCACATCCTTGTAGTGGATAGTTTGATTGCAATCGGCTACTATAGAATGGCTTTCAATTATTCAATCATCAACTATCGTACTTGGTCAATGATTGTGTTCTCTTGAAGTCTCAATTATTGTTCATGGTATCTGGGTAACCCAACTCCTTGATGTAGGGCGTGTACAAGAAGTAATAATCATTTAAGGACTTGATAGCATTGATTTATGGGGGGAGGGGGTTTACCGTAGCGAAGCAAAGGTGCAAAGCCATGGTAATCAGGCGTCTAATCCAACACTTGGTAACATTGATCTATAGAAGGGCTTGATCGCAGTGAAGTGAAGGTGCAAAACCATAGTGTTCAAGCAGCAAATTCGGTTTCTCATTTCCATTATTACCAAGCTTGCCAACAATAAAACGCACCAGAATTTGCATGAATTAGTCTTACCAAAATCAATATGTTTCCTATTCGAATTAAAAATTGCGCAAGCTACAGAACTGTCCTTCCAGTAAATTACAGTACTAAAGATGTGATTCATGCCGTGTAAATAAAAGCCATAAAGCAATACATAGGCAAATTTAACAGCTTTCAAGCCTTCATATCTTGACATGTAGACTTTTCTGAGCCACCGGAATGACACCAAACAATTGTACTTGAGTAGTAGTAACATCCTAATTCCTTTGCTCAACTTTTTGGGCCAAAAAAAAACATGACCAAAAATCGACCAAAGAGCATGAGGTACTACCCCTCATGGTTTTCATCGAAAATCAAACGATCGCATTTTTCATCTTGAAAATGAAGACTTTTCTTATGGTATATATCATATCAAAATGTTTCTCTCGATCCAAAGCAACCTCTGAAACCGCTTTTATGAGGTGTTCATATGCAAAATGTCGACATTTTGGCCTAAAACCTTATTTCATATTTTACCAAATTGCTCAATAAAGTTATTCAAAACACCTATTACAATTAGCACTATTGGAAGCGCCTTGAAAAGTACTTCAAGAATGTATTAGGAAGCGTAGGGTGATCATTACATTTCATGTAGTCAAATATCATAAAATAGATTAAGGAAGTCGAAAAAAGACAAAATCTGTCCAATCTTAAACAGAAAAAAATAAGCTGGGGTTGAATTAATTTTAGCGGGCGTCGCTGCTGCTGGCTGGCCCAAATGCCTTTCTGTTTATGACAATAATGTATGCGATGCTGATTAAATGGGGACAATGAAGTTGAAAGGACAATTGATTAGCCCAAATAATTTTTTTTGGGGGAGCTTTGCCTCATGAAGATGTTTTTTTGCAATGACAAAATCTCAAAAAAGTCATTGTAGATCTTACACAAGTCCTGTATTTACTTATGACCACTAGCTTTATGTCGCCATCGTATTAAGAGCATCAGCAGCAACGAATGGTATGACCAGGAAATGGTAATAGACTTTGATTGATGTCTGTGTAGGCAAAACGGATGCTGAGGGAGATATCTTCTCTCCTCCTCCTGATGACTCTCATATGAGCTTTTTTTTTTTTACTAACTGATAATAGATTGCTTAATGTCTACATGATATACCAAAATTTGATTATATCTGATTTAAGATGTCTTTGGCGAGAGCCCACAGGGGGACGCTGACATCAAGCGTAACGAGATAATTCCGCTAGTAATTATTTACGGATAAATTGTGGTATGATGGCGTTGTGCAAGCAGTTCTCAAAATGAATTATAGGGCAAAAAGGAAATGATAATTTCCCATGCAGGAATCAAACGATAATCCGAAATGAAATGTTTCAAATGATGCTATTGATTGGACAGTGCTGCTTTGAACGATGAAGACGACCCTTGACAAAGTGGTTGGAATATCACGGGTAACTGGCATTCGTGTATTGTTTTAAAGTTTGAAGCGAGTTTAGATTAAGTAATCAAATGCATACTTCTGTTCAACATATGTATGTGCTAATCTGACAAGGGATGAATGTGTCGTGTTCTTGAAATCATAAATATTTCATCAGGTCTCGCAGTATTCAATTAATTCATGCCATATCATAATCTAACAGATTGTGAATGACATTTATTTTGTCTACATGTAGATAAAAAGGCATTCTTTCAGAGCAGTAGCACAGTAACATGATCTGTTTGGTATCACCTCACGGTTATCTACTCATCAGTCTATAAAAGTAAATAAATCAATATACCTACTGTGTATAAAACTATAGACGTATAAAGAACTTGCATTGGTAGGCCCGAGATATTGAAATATTAACAAAAATTATGGGCTGTAGGCTTGCTGGTTGCTGTACTAACAGTAGCTACGCATCCTCCAGGTTGAGCCTCAAACGCATGTAAATTTTCCTGCATTTTTGCGTGTATGCCAAAACTTGGATCAACCTACATTTAGCATTTCGCAAGTATTGAAGCGCACTAGATTTGAACTTTGCATATACTTTGATATTTAAGTTTGACATCTTTGAATTCCATTCTGAACCATTCTCGGTAGTAGATTTACAGCAACATCCCGTCTTTGTTATTCGGGGACTTGAAAAATGAGTGTTTGACAATATTCCAACACCCGCATTATCTTTAAATACTTGATGGAGTCTCGAAGTCAATCAAGTGTCCTTTTCTTTCTCTTTCTTCTCTCTTTTCCTCGCTGCACTTAAAGCATACACAAGCATGAGATTGGTTATACGTAAAGATTATGACGAAGTATCAGCCTGGATTGCTCACTACATCAAGGAACGCATTCGACAATTTCAGCCCACAGCAGAAAGACCTTTTGTATTGGGCCTTCCATCTGGTTCATCTCCCATCAGCTTCTTCCAGAGACTAGCCGAGTTCTGTAAGACGGGTGAGGTTAGTTTTCAGCATGTGGTAACATTCAATATGGATGAATACGTTGGCATCCCAAAGTAAGTCATCTCTTGCCCCAAAAACAACAAAATATACCGAGAGAGATTTCTCACTCCTTTGGCGGGTAATTCTCATCTAGAACACATAAAGAATCGTATTATACATACATGAATACAAGCTTGTTTAAGCATCTTGATATCAAGCCGGAAAATATCAACTTGTTGGATGGTAACGCTCGGGATCTGGAAGCAGAGTGTAGACGCTATGAAGCCAAGATTGCTAGTTTGGGTGGCATCGAACTATTTGTGTGTGGTATTGGACCTGATGGCCATTTTGCTTTCAACGAACCTGGGTCTTCGCTGACTTCTCGTACTCGTGTAAAGACATTGGCGTACGAGACCATTGTGGCTAATTCTCGATTCTTTGGTGGTGACATTACCAAAGTGCCCAAGGTAGCATTGACTGTGGGCGTCGCGTAAGTGTTGATTTTGTGATTTGTGTGTATTTCCGAGTACTAAATGATGAAACGGTTTAAAACAATAGCACTGTGATGGATGCTCGTGAAGTCTGTGTTATAATTACAGGTGCCCATAAAAGGTAACAAATATAATTCGAATACAACCCCAACAAAAACACTAAGCAACCTTGTCATTAGCGTTGCCTTGGCTAAATGTGTCGAAGAAGGCGTCAATCATATGTGGACGGTATCTGCTATTCAGATGCATCCTAAAGGGCTGATAGTGTGTGATGAGGATTCTACTATGGAATTACATGTCAAGGTAAGCTGGGCTAGGATTATGGGTGGGGCGGCCAGTAGAGATTAATATATGCCCGTGTAATTTTAGACTGTAAAATACTTTAAATCCATCGAGCATGTACACCAATCCCTTATTGGCAAAGAAAATCTCGGTTTACAGGGAGAGTTATTAACGCCAGAAGCATCTACTGCCAAAACAACACATACAAGAGGTCATGAAATGCTTGTGAGACAGCTATTAAATGCTCATCATGCAGCTGATTATTTGACAGAAGAGGAGGACGAGATTGATAAAGACGATAAACCTAGACCACTTAAGAGAAGAAGAAGCTAAATAGAATATATATATATATATATACAAACATCAAACCCACACACATACATCCCATTCATTTTTAATTATTCCCATTAAATTACAAAAAACACAATATCTACAATGTCAAATGATGTATTCATTCAGGCCCTTTCAATGAGTCCTCCTTATCAAAGAAGCTCAAATGCTGGAATTTTAAACACTCGTTTCCCCAACTGATCCAACCAGGGTAAAGGCATCGAGAAAACATTTCCACACAGACAGGGTCCTTCTTGTTGTTCTGGTAGGCATTGAGAGCACCTGTTCATAGACAATTTAGCATACGTGGTTGATATGACCCGAGTAGTATCATACCATGCAAAGGTGGCTTTCGAGAATGTCTTGTGCTCGGCACACTGACAATGATGTGCGACTCTGGCATGTTGATTCGATCGCTCATGTCACTCGGCGCAATAGGCCTACCGATAATCAGCTGTTCATATGGTTTTTTGTGTTCTGAATCGATAGGAAATATGCATTCGCCTTGAGTTGTCACCTTGAGCCACATCCATTCACTAACGCACTCCAGTTTCCAAGATGGAAAGAGTTTGTTGATGATGAAATTTCTGAATTTTGGTTTGTTTGTGACCCAAATTGCAACTATTGTGTCTTTGTTGGATATCATGGATTGCATTGGGATCGAGTAGAGGTCATAAATGTCTTGCGTTTCGTAATGTGATGATCTTTGGACTATATCAACACGTCAGTATCATGTTGATAGGGTCAATCAGAGCTTTCATACCACTTTTATTGGGCCATGGCGGATCCATCACAATCAAATCTGCTCCACCCAACTTATTGACTGTGCAAAAGTGTGAGTCTTTGCTATAACGGATGCATCTATATTGAACCTACTGTGTGCGCCCAGTTGACCTAAGCTGTTATGCATTGATCCCATTAAAAAGGATGATCTCGGCGGTATAAGGTAGGTTGCAGATGGCGTAAATTGCAGCAATTTGACATCTGTCAAAGATGCATTGATATACACTGTGTTGAAGATGGAAAATATGTCAATTTCGGCTGTAATTGACAATTCTAGTTTGAATTCTGGCACATGTATATCATTGTCATCATCTGGAGAAGTGTCGAAGCTGAATTTATCTTGCGCTGTTTCCACCATTTGCTGGATACTAGGGAAATCAACAGCCTGAGTCTCATTATCAGCAGGTAAATCTGCTATAGCAGGCGTGGTCCTGGCTTTCCATTCAGTTGGCCATTTTTCAGGCAGCTGCTCTAAGCATGCAATGAGTTGCGGCCTCACTTCTTGGTGCCTCTTTTGTGTATCTAAATCAGCATTGCTTGGATTCTTAGGCTTGTTTTTTCTTCGCCTCTTCGTTGCAGGAGCATCCAGGGTCGCTTCTTTCTTGGCTCTGAAATATGGCTGGCAAACATCGAATTCGCCCTTAATGAGTCTGTACGGTGATATACCTTTTGAAAAGTCTTTTTCTGAATCTATTATATCAAACATTTGCCTATTGTTCGACATGAAAAAGTTTATAAATGGCTTGAAACAGCACTGGTTGTCATGTGGAATTGAATCTCAGGGGGAGATTTCATCATTCCAAAATCTGGCCTACCATCTCTTTCTTTTCTCTTCTTCATTTCATTCAAACAACACACACACACATATATATATACATATTTATTCGAGATGGGTCTATTCTCATGGTTTGGTTCAAAAGAAAATACAGCACAAGATGTGGATACATCCATTCCTGAAAAGAGCCAATGCTACCACATTGTATGTAAAGACAAATGATAAAGGTACCGAGCATTTACTGACAACATAACCAACATATAGGAGGGATTTCTCACTTGCTCATACTTTACAAATGCTATCCGGATTGGAGATCAATTGACTGCCAAGCATCCAAATATCAAAGTCGATGTCAGTGCATATATTAAAGAGCAATGGAGCGAGAGATCAAAAGAATTACAACAGGTACACATCTCGAATCCAACGCCCCCTGCAAAACTAATGTTCTTTTCACACTTAACGATAGGAATTCAAAACAAATCAAAGAACTTCACCATTCATTTACGAAGGGTGTGATCTACAAAACCAACAGTTGATTGGCGGCTACACAGATTTTGCAAAGAGGGCTAAAGAGACATACAAAATGAGTGTACCCATGGATTAAAGAGGCGATGAGTGGAACCAGGACTAGATTGGATTTGACAGCTTTGTTTCCATCTATTTATCTGCGCCAACAGCCAATATTGCAAAGCAAACATTAGCCATAGATGATTTAATAATGTAAAATATATTCCTCTTAATTATTGATTTCATAAGTATTGCGTGTTTGATGGAATGTCAAGACAGTTATAAGATTCGAACCGTTATTTTGAGCCAACAGTAAATGCATAAAAATGAAGTTATTTATTCAATGCATCTTTTGACCGTAGTATCATTCAGTGCACAAAAGGTAAAAATGGAAGAATTGACGCAAAGGATCAAGCTTGCTACGAAGCAGTATTGCAACTTAAATCGAGTCTTGAACACCTGCACATGCACCTTACGAGCTCTTGATGTATTTGTCTTTCCACCTTAAATCAAAGAAACTTCTTTTGATACAAACCAGAACAAAGTAAATTTACTGCCTCTGCACACTTTCAAGGCTGTTGGTTTGCGATGGTCCCATGTCGCCACCTACTTTCCACTGGCTTCAAAAGCATGTACTGTATTATTGTCAGTCTGCCTCACCAGCCGCCAAAATAATTTTACCTCAGACTCATAGTGTGCTCTAGAATGGTCAAATTTTACAATTTACGACTTGAATTAAACCATTTTGTTAGATTCGACTATATAAAAACTGATGATTACCCCCAAACTTTTTTAAGTTTTTTGGAATGCTTTTAAGGCGTATCCAATGGCACAAAGTAAAATAGATATTTTGAATAAACTTAATGAACAGTCCATGAAAATATAAAAGGAGGCTTCTGACTAAAAAGTCGCGATTTTCCATAACGAGGTCTCACAAAAAAGATGACTTCCAAGGTTACATTAGGTCAATAGATTTAATGCCCTGACCAAGAAATGGTCACCCAATTTTTTGCTTGCTATCACACGTAGATTTTGAAGAAAAATCCATGATTTTGCATGATACTCTTTTTTGACCATATCTCGACAAATACTCACTGGATTCGCACAAAACAAAGACCATTCGATAGCTCTATGTTATATCCATTATAATATAAAAGTTCCAAGTACCAGATGTACGTTCCCTTCATAAATTTGCTCAAAACCATATATTTCATGAGCTACATGCAGGGGATATTCAACTTTTTATTTATTTATCTATAATAACCATACCATCGTATAGAGAATTGAAAGAGAAACAGAAGCTACTAAGCTTGAACCTCTCGTTCACTTGATAAAATCCAGAGGTATGGCCCTTTGAAAATCGGTCATTTTTACTATCTTTCCTCATTACTCACCCACATTGTCCTCAATAACCTCAAGTCAAACATGCTCTACTCAACCAACGTATTCTCTACAACTTTTAATAGACATATGACCCATGCTTATATATTAATCAAAAAGTTTTACTAACAGCATCTGTCCAGAATTTGCAAATTTCTCAAATCTCGCTTTTCTCATCATCACCACATCCAATCTAAGATCCAATTGCATCATCATCTTCTACGCAAGAATCTGTTATAGGAACATGCTACTTTCAAAGCTCGAATTTCAAAATCGAAATTCAAAGAGAAATTATAAGAGAAAAAAGAGAAAATAGGAATAAATAGAGAAAAAGAGTTGCGAACGATGAATTTGGGTTATAGTCTGGCGTGAAAACTCTTTTGAGACGGCTTAATTCGCACGGGAACTGTTAATTTTTTCGAAAGTGAACTGCCAAATTAGTATACACTCCTCATTTCACGACAACTCGTATACCGTAATAAAAGTCTTCATTATCAAGGTCAAAAACGTGATCGTTTGATTTTCGATGAAAACCATAGAGTGATTTCCTTTTTACAGTGTTTTATTGATTGCTCCGTGTAAGTAGGTCCCTAGAGCACTACTAAGAGGCGTGCACAATTGAGACAAAATTCAATTATATTTAAGATAAAGCTATAGAAGATGACGGGAACAGATGATAGATGACGATTATGATTAGAGAATTACAATTGTTTGTGATTTTCAGCTTGTGCGTGTAGTTGAAGGAGCTCGTCCTTGATCTGCTGGACCACATCGATACATGCAAATGGAATCGAGTGAAAAATCATACGAACTTGAGCTCGCCAAATGCTGCCAAGTGTTACCAGCACGACCATGTGAGCAGTAGTGGTGTACGATTTGGAGACAGTGACAGACAACTGCCGAATGACTTTGACAGGTAGGATTAAGGCGGTAGCAATGTCGAGGTGAACTGGTTCATTGATGCGTTTGAGGCGGTCAACTGATTTGTAGATCACTGTTACCGCATTGGTGCGTTGTTTAGTGAGACCAGTGGTTCGTGTGAGGGGAAAGAGCACTGCAACCTGCACATACGCATTCTGATTTTGCTTATTCACTAGCATGACCAGCATGAGATCTAGGATGTGGGGTGAGTCAGAGGGATGGAGGAGCGGTTGAACCCAACGAAAGTATAGGGTATAAATCTCCCTACTAATCCCCAGGGGTCGATAATAGACGACCCTCTTTTGCATGCATAAGGATTAAAGTGCGTATCCCTTGATTTGACTCCCTGATCCAAAAGAAAAATCCTAGTTGTCAATTTATCATCTCTCTAAATCTCTTGGATAACAAACGAGATACGCAGCAAATGCTCTATAATTGACACACCCCACTATATTTGCCTCTTTGAACCTTCCATAATGTCTGGTACAGTGTATTCAAGTGTTAGGTGCAAGAATATACTCATTGAGTTGCTAATACCAAATGTCAGCAATACTAACTATTTGGTACTATTTGATTACAATTTTGTGATTAAATGAATACCAACTTTTTATGGATTTCTCATCATCATATGCTCACAATCCAATAATTGTGTCGTTTAGAAGGCTCTCTTATTGATTGACCCATTGTATGCGCGCCATAAGCTAAAAATACTTGGCATGTTGATATCAATTAAGAATGATATCTATTATATCAGCAAACGTTATTGCCTATCAGAAGAAGTATAAAAAGGATGTAACGTCTGCTTGCAAGAACAGCCCATTGCTCTCTTTTTACATTATTGCTATATATTCATTACAGATTCGCCATGGTTTTTGCTTCTTTCAAAAGCAATCTTCTCTCCCTCACTGGTGCCATTGTCAATCGAGTATGTTCTGCTGTTTCTTCCTCTGCTATCAAGACCGGCGAAGATGTATTGTCTGCTCCTAATTTCAAAGCTTATGGTTTCTTGGAGGACATTTACCACTTCAGACTTCAGCTGGCAAAGGATAATTCTTACTGTATTATGGAAGAGGTTGGTAAGATCCCCGTCCAAATCGATTACAACTCCAAGGTCCAATTCTCCTCTGTTGGTGAAGCCAAAGCTGCCATGTCCGCTGATTTGCTTGAAGCATGCTGTTCTCCTTTGCCTGGCAAATTCGATAGTCCACAATTGTATTGCAATATGTCTCCCTACCAACAAATGCTTGCTGATAAACGTGCTGATGAAGAAAGCTTTGATTTTGTTGAATACCCTGATAATGCTGATGATGAAACTATTATTGCCAACCAGCCAATTCAAGAAACCAATATCAATTTTCAAGAGGAGAAGGGCTCTTTGAAGTCATTGAAGACTAAACTCTTTCATCTCTCACAAAAGTAATTTACTCTAAATATGTATTTTATCCAAAATTCAATAAATTCGCATTTTTACACGCTGCAAAACGGTCTAACATCTCTTGTATTCCATTCAACACAGCTTATTGTCTTCAGTATGAGATAAAATAGCGAGATGCAACGCAATCATTCATTCATCACAGAATCATTCGCTAAATGTATGAAGTCAATCATCAAGTTTTGATGTATAGTTTCAACTAGCCGATCTATCTCGCTACGCTTGATGGCGGCGTCGCCCTGAAGGCGAAAGAGTTTGTAGATACTCAAAAGGATAGGCTTAAGTCTCAGTGTTGGTCAGATTAGATTGAACTGTGTCAGCAGAGTACACAGTGCGCTTTTCACCAATCGTATTCTCCATCACCTTGCCGTTGATAGCATCGACATTGACATTTTTCAAACAGAGAATAGCTCTTTCCTTGTTACAGTGTATACTGTATAATGATTTTCGAATCACGCATGTTAATCATCTAAACAATAATGTTTATGAATGTTCGCTACAGCTAGTCTTCAAAACAAGTGTGTTTGTCGAATACATACTTATATTACATGCCAAGTTTTGATTGGAAAGATCTGCATTTGACGACAGAAATCATATGTCAATAAGGTTGATCGATTTTTGGACATTTCGAGCATACAATGCGCCTATCCTATTTCGCGCGATGGCCGTAATTTATGAATGACACCATGGCCAAGGATTTCTGGCTAAGGAAGCGTATCCACTGGGCAGATGTTTAAACATACCACTCAGTAGTGAACATAGATAGAGATGCTGAAGCTCCACAACAAATGACATATGCCAGTCTTTTTTTGCAAAAATTTCCCGTACAAACAAGCCACCGCAAAAAAAACTATTTATTCAAAGGAGTCAACACATTAGCAAATTCCTTTTTCTTTCATTTATTGTGGCATTGGGCCCAAATCATCTTGACTGGTAAGTAATCGTGCTCTTTAGGAGGTTGTAATGGAGGATCTTTGTCTTTAGCTTTTACTATACGAAGGATGTATAACCTTGTAGCGTCTTAATCATACGTGTTGATTTACAAAAAAAAACTGATTTAATGAGCCTGACTTATAGTAAAAGAAAAGAAAAGATTTGTCTATTATAACCTTATAATTCACATTTGATTCAACTATTTGGTTGTATTAGTTTACTAATAGTATTTCTTCGATTTTCATTTATTAGATTATTCGGCCCGGTTCTTTGTTTGCCCTCATTTTATTACCCTTTTTACTATTAATAAACATTTGTTGAAATTAATCTCATTTGGCTCGTGCAATATTGTGTGTAATCAATCTCAAGAGAGATGAGTACTTGGGGATATTCATTTGATGTTTGACATGGGATCTGGGATCTGAAATGCTTGCTGTTGAGCAAGATGATTTTAAATGAATTATGTACAATTTTCTAACTATATCGTCGCTGATCAGCGAGAGCCTTGCACTATTGACCAACCCTGCAATTCGATTATCTGAGCTTCAGAAGCATAGATTACCTTCATAATTAGCCTTACCAGCGAGCCATCCAACTAGCGGCAAAACCAAATTTAAATTCCGTAGGACTTCTACTCAAGATTAGTCAAAATCGATCTGTTTGATTTATTTTGCCAGATTCGATTATATAAGTTGTAATGGTCGCCTCCTACTTCCTAATGGTTTCTTGTAGTACTTTTGGAGGCGCATTCAATAGTACTAAATAAAAAAGATACTTTGACTGAACTTATAAAGCAATCCTTGAAAATATGAAAAGAGGTTTATAGCCAAAATGTCGAGGCTTTTCATATAAAGCCTCACAGAAGCAATTTCAGGTGTTGCCATGGACCCGTAGCAACATTTTGACTTAAAATACGCCATAGTAAAAGTCTTCATTTTGGAGGTCAAAAACGCGATCGTTTGATTTTCGATAAAAACCATGGGATATCCCTCATGGTTTTTGGTCGATTTTGATCAATGTTATCTAGGTCCCAAAAAAGTTGAGCAAAGGTGTTATAAAGTGAGTGCTAGTTGAGAATAATTGTTTGGTGCCATGCTGGAGGTCTCAAACGGAGTCTAGCGCGAGAAATAGCAGCTCATAATGCATCTAAATTTTGCATGGTTTTGAGCAGTAAGCGAGGGGCCATAATCAAGTTATAGTAGAATCAATTTTCATTCATTAATTTGGTTGCTAGACAGTATATAAGCCTTGAATGAGGTCTACCCTTGAGGCAGGTAAGATATAGCTATCAAAATTGCCACGCTGGAATGTATTGTCGTACTGACATTGCTTTGCATGAATGGCGCGCCAATAGCATAACGTCTCTTGAATCCAGAGAGTACCCCGATTAATGCCCTGAGACTGAAGATGAATCCATGCGGATCAAAACCACACAGCACATCGTATCTTCAAACCAAAGTAGGTAGTTTTTGTCTAAACAAGAGCACAAGGTTCAAATAATGCATACAAGGGAAACTGGCAGCTGATCGTGAGATTATTGCATTTCCCTTATTTGTATAAAATATCAATCCCTTTTTCTATCCAGGCAACACAACCCTTTTTCTTTTCTTTTCTTTTATCCATTCTTTAGAGATGATTCGAATCCATCAGCATAGCAGTAAATCAAGGCTGCTCTTTCCAAGATACCATTCTACAGCTGCTCGTAGCAGCAGCCAAAGCAGTATCGGTATTCGTCGCGAAGACAAGAGCAGATGGGAGCGTCGATCTGCCTTGACACCCAATACGGTCAAAAAATTGATTCAGGAGACAGGCACCAAAGTATACGTTCAACCCAGCACCAAGCGAATCTTCACAAATGAATCCTATGAAGAGGTAAAAGATGGTCGTAAATGAGAGGACTTGAACAAACCACTCACTATCTTCCCATCCTACAGGCGGGTGCTATCATTACCGAGGATATCTCACAAGCAGACATCATTTTGGGCATCAAGGAAGTTCCCGAGGCATCCCTTCTCAAAGACAAGACGTATATGTTTTTTTCTCATACGCACAAGGGCAATGAAAAAAACATGCCTATGCTTCGAAGCGTGCTTGACAAGGTAAGCTTTGTGCAATGGTCCAATCTTGTTGATGCGGTTTTTCTCACACCTTCGTGGGAAATTTGTGTAGAACATTCGTCTTATAGACTATGAATTAATGAAAGATGAAACAGGCAGGCGACTAGTGGCATTTGGCCAGTTCGCGGGAAATGCAGGTACCGTATTTCATGTGTGTACGTAGTGCAAGCGTGCTAACATACAATGCCAAAAGGTATGATTGATATTTTCCACGGTATGGGCCACCGTTTCCTAGGATTGGGTTATAGTACACCTTTCATGGTAAGGGAGATAGCATTGATGGCACACAAAGTTTTAGTGCTCATGCGTGTGTCTATGATGTAGTACACTTCCATGGCACATGCTTATCCGACACTTGCTGAAGCTAAATCAGCATTGCATCGAATGGGAAACGTTATTGCTGAGAATGGCACCCCAAAAGATTTTGGACCTTTGGTATATGCGTTCACTGGATCCGGCAATGTCGCCAATGTAAGTTAACTGACATCAGTCTCAAAAACAGTACTACAACTCGGGTATATGTGTCTATAGGGTGCTATGGATATCTTTAAAGAGATTCCCCACGAATTCGTTCCTGCAGAAGACCTTTCCAAATTAGTCAACGATAAGAGTAAAGTATTTTTGCTTATCAACATTCCAGTACTGGACACTGAAACAATCAAAACACACAGATCCTAGATTAGACAGGCTGTACGCGACTCAGCTAGAGGTCAAGGACTATATCGAGCAAAAGGACGGTGGAAAGCTCATTGATTATGAAGATTACCTTGCCAATCCCGAGAGATACCAATCCAACTTTCATCACAAGGTAACATATCGCAGCATCGCGTCGATTTCCATACTGACACTGTGCACAGATTGCTCCTTACGCAAACTGTGTGGTTACCGGCGCTTATTGGGACAAGAACTACCCTCGATTAATGACAAACAAGCAATTGGCCGACTTTGAGAGACTGAAAAAGAAGGGCTTGATCAACAAGGGCAAAATGATGAGCTTGGCTGATATTGTGTGCGACGTCAAGGTGAGAAATAATGAAATGCATGGAAAACATGAGCATTTTTTTCTCACGATGTACAATGTTAGGGTGCATTTGAGTGTCTCTCTCATAGCACCAATGTGGATGATGGCTTCTTTTACTATGACGCTATCCGTGATATGGAGCATAGCGAGTAAGTATCGCAGTGGTGTTGGCGTCATTCGTATACTTACGCAATGTTTCCAGTGCTGAGGGAGAGGGCATACAAATCATGGGCATTGATATCTTGCCTGCAGAGCTTCCTGTTGAAAGCAGTGAATTCTTCAGCAAAGCACTCTACCCTTACATTAGGGAAATGGTTCAGAGCTCGCCCAAGACGCCTCTGGATAAACTGCCTACTTTGCTACGCAATGCTACTATTGCTGATCAAGGACAGCTCATGGATCCTCACAAAAGCCTCCTGAAATCAACTGCTGCCGCTGCTACATCTACTCGCAGTGCAACTTACAATGACAAAAAGACAGTTTTGTTGTTGGGCTCTGGTATGGTTGCAGCCCCTCTGGTTGAACACCTCGTCAAGAGACCAGATGTCAATATTGTCGTTGGTATGTCATTAACACTTGTAGTCATTAAATGGATATAGGCTAACAAAAAGGTTATTGCAGCTAGCAACATGGCTGAAGAGGCAGACGCCTTGGTTAGACACCACCACAATGCCGAATCTGCTCCCCTCGACATTTCCAACCACCAAGAACTCTCTCGACTGGTTAGTAAAGCCGATGTGGTAGTAAGGTAAATATATACATTTAGGGTCTCTTTGAGTGTGTAACCATTTGACGTCTCTATAATAGTCTTGTACCTGCATTTTTGCACACGCAAGTCGCCAATGTGTGTATCGAGCAACGAAAAGACATGGTTACAGCAAGCTATGTTTCCAAGGAAATGGAGGAGTTGGAACAAAAGTAAGCAGCGAACATTGCCATACACTATGAGCACTATATTCACCACAGACTCAACTATATAGAGCTCAAAAGGCTGGTATCTTGGTCATGAATGAAGTGGGTTTAGATCCTGGTATGGACCACATGTCTGCCATGAAGATTATTGATGAAGCGCAACGCAACGGTTCAAAGGTAGGTTTTATTTGTTTGTTTGCTTGTGTATTTCCTAAAGCTGACCATCATGTCATGCATGCAGATCAAGTCATTCATTTCTTGGTGTGGAGGTCTTCCTTCTCCTGAAGCGTCTAATGTCCCTCTTGGCTATAAATTCAGTTGGTCTCCACGCGGTGTATTGACTGCCAGTGGAAACGACGCCGTCTATTGGAACAATGGCAAGGTATGCGCTCTTTTAGAATAGTAAGAAACAATAACAAATAACGCGCTTTTGTTTAGAAACATACTATTGCTGGTGAAGATCTGTTAAAGGAACACTTTCCTGTAGTACAAACTCCTTACGCTGGATTCGTATTTGAAGGATTAGCAAATAGAAACTCTTTGGGTTATGCCGATATCTACGGTCTTGGTGATCTATCTGGCATGGACACCATGTTCCGCGGCACATTGAGATATCAAGGCTATTCTGATCTTTTGTACGCTTTCCGTAAATTGGGTTTCTTGGATCAGGTCAAGCCTATTGCCGAAAACTGCCACAATTGGGTATGTATATGCGGCCAGAATGCTATCGCTTTTGTTGCTGATCACCCTTGTGATTATAGTCAAATTACTTCAATTTTGTTTTATCAGGAAAGCACACTCAGCTTTCGCAAGATGAGAGATACCAGTACATGGTGGAGAAATTGGGCTTACCCAAGGATCATTTTATGGTAGAAAAGACATGGTCAGCCATTTCTTACTTTTTGTCAGAGGAACAAGAAAAAGTCAACGCTAACAATGGATCCGCTCTTGATCTATTCTCCATCTTGCTATCAAGAAGACTCAAGTATGACAAAGGGGAAAGGGATATGGTCGCTATGCATCACGAATTCGGAGTAGAGCATCGTAATGGTAAAAAGGTGAGTGTATAAGTACCCATTGAGGCCATACGAGGTTGTCCCTTACAAGATGGAGTAGGAAACCTTGACATCTACTTTGATCAAATATGGCAATGAAACGCATACTGCCATGGCAGACACGGTTGGCTTACCCACAGCCATGACAGTAGACTTGGTATTGGACAACAAGATACCCGAGCGAGGCGTTCAGAGGCCAACAAAGCCTCACGTGTATATGCCTATTTTAGATCAATTGGAAATGAAGGGTATCAAATTTATTGAAAAATCAGAACCTTTCAAGGTCAATAGATTAGATGCAACTGGGTCTCACAGTTGGTAAATGCTTGAGAAAAAAAAAAGGGGGAGGATTCATGTGCATGATATGATGATGTACATTTAGCCAAAAATGTCTTTTTATAGTAAAACTAGAGATCTCAACCTATGTAATAATAGTAGTAGCATGTACACTTCTCTTCTCCCCCCAGAATATAAATTCCTCCTTTTTTACATACTTTCTTTCTCTTTTCTTTCATCATTTGTTTGTTTGTAAGATTGTTGGTTGCCACATTGAATATAAAAGCCATCATTTTTCCAACCTTTTCTTCTTCTTCTTCTATCGTTTCTCTTTCTCTTGTAATTATAATGTACATTTTATTCTCGCTGCTACTACCAGCTATGGTATCAGCGATGACAGGTGGCACAACTGTGGAATCCTCGTCTAAATACCCGTTTTTTGTCACACTCACGGACCCCATTTTATGCGGTGGAAGCATCATTTCATTAGACCCACCATGGATTTTGACAGCAGCGCATTGTATCGAAAATTTGGAAATACATCCCAACAAGTATACAGTGGCCTATGGTAACAGAGACTTTTCAAAGCAAACGTATGCTGCTATTCAGCAAGCCGTGAGCCATCCGCTCTATGTGTCATCACAGCAGCTTCAAACACAGGTGTACGCAACGGATCAAACCGACGTAATTCCATATGACATTGCATTGATTAAATTGAAATCCCCTCTTGTGGCAAATACCCATGTCAATCGTATCCCCATATCAACAGCATCGCTCAACAAAGAAGAAAACCCCAGCACTTATAAGGAAACCATCGGTATGGGATACGTTGGCTATGAGAAGCCGCATGCTGATATGTTGCAGTACACTCCATGCAATTCATCCAATGTGGGAACTCTCCGGAACAGTAACTTTAACCACAGCATTATATTGGCTACTTCAGATGCAGGATTATGCCATGGTGATTCAGGTACGCATTATACTCAAAAATAGCTCATGAAAATATAAATGGACTCATAAAAAGATGCATCATACTAGGAAGCCCACTCTTGAGCAAATCAGCCGATACTAAAGAATATTATCTGGATGGCGTATTAAACAGGATTTTGAATGCATATGATCCTGATCCTGATAATGGGTCATGCCCCTTTCATGAATCCAATTTGACGCGATTTCTCAACTCGTTTGTCAAACCCTCGGCTCATATCAAGTGGATCATGAATGCCACGCAGCTTTCGTTTGATGCATTGACAGATCCAGTGACAAGTCTGGATGATGGCAGTGTTTTTGCAGCTTCGTCTACAAGCTCTGCTATTATTACTACGACTGCATCATTGTTTTTGCGTGCTTCTTGCTTTGGCGTTGATTGGACACTGGCGACGGTGCTGATAAGCTCTTTATTGATGATTATTTACCTTTAACTTACTGCATTTCACTAAGCATCTTCATTTTGTACATACATATACCTTTTCACTCTTGATTATTAATAAAAGTTGCATCGCACGTGGACAAAGTACACGGTTAAAACAAAATTCTTCAATGCAAGAAGGCCATCGATAGATGATGGCAATAGAAGCATCAAGTACGTGCCAATGACGATTATTAGCTTAGTGCTCAAACTTGGTTTTGATTCCCATGAGTAAATTACCAATATTCAGGGCAACCAAATCATTCATCAGGCCAGCCATTTTCTTATTGAATTAGACAGGGATAAAACTGCCAAACCCTAAAAATAAAGCACCATTACATCCCCTGAGCTACCCATGAGAGATTCAACTCTGGTTTTATAATTCGCCACCGTTAGAGATTGAGAGTAGCGAATACATCAGACGGGTAACTCCAATTACTTGCTCGTTGAGATGCAAGATAGTATTCTAATGCAAATGTGAAGCGTTTTGAAGGATTTTCACCAAAGGTTAAGATTAGGGCTTGAAACTAAATAATACGATATAGGTCAACAAAATTTTCTTTCTGCGTAAATGACTCTCATTTTATCCTTGTTAATCATAACATAATGGATGTTCTGTTCCTAGACACTTTTACAACAGGCATTTATCAGGCATGGTTCATATATGATTAGTTAAATTAACATCAATCAACAATCGAGTTTCATCTAACATTTTAGCTATTATTAATTTTGCAATATTAACCAAAGGTCAGAGGCAGTGCAAGCCACCTAAACGTATGTTGGTTTCGACCAAAGCAAAGTGTAGGTCAGGAAACCAACTGAAGAATCGAAATGCTCATAGTAACGTAATAAATTTATGGTCCCTAGACACTTTCGAAACCTCAAAAAGGAAAGAAGTTGATCTCACAAGTATTTTGATAGACTACTGTTATTAAATATAAAATGAAAGGAAATAGCATGACTAAAAGTAATGCTATATAATTTGCCGCCTACTTTGCATACACCTCAGAAGCATCTAATTACTGTATTGCCTTCATGATTAAGTTTGCCAGCCGGACCCACCAGCAAAAATCAATTTAAACCTAGATTCGTATTCTGTCCCAGATTGGCCAGATCTTAAAGATTTTCGACTCAATCAAACTATTTTAGCAGATTCGACTATTAGAATATGATTATCACCCCATGCTTCTTTAAGCTTTCTTGGAGTGCTTTTCAAGGCGCATCTAATGGTATCAAGTAAGTTAGGTGTTTTGAGTAAACTTATTGAATAATTTACGAAAATATAAAAAGAGGTTTCTGGCCAAAAAGTCGAAATTTTACATATCAAAGTCTCACAAACATGATTTCAGGAGTTACGTTAGATCGATAGAAACCTTTTGATTCAATATATACCTTAGTAAAAGTCTTCGTTATCAAGGTAAAAAAAATGCGATTATTTGATTTTCGAAGAAAACCATGAGGGGTACCTCATGCATTTTGGTCGAATTTTGCCCATGTTTTTTTGATCCCCAAAAAGTTGAGCAAAGGAGCCAGAAAGTAACTGCCAGACGAGAGCAATTGTTTGGTGCTATTCTGGCAATCTAAAACGGCCTTGAACGCAAGGAAATGCATCTCAAATGCACTCGAATTTTGTTGTATCAGGAACACTAAGGACTAAAAAGAGGAAATACCAGTATGCTGCTTGCCCGTATATGAAGTAGCCACGTGTATATGGATTTAGAGCATCACATAAGAATTAGATGCACAGATACTATAAAAGAGTTTCATGTGCAGGTGGAGGGCCAAAATGAAAGTAACAGTATTTCGAGAAGATACGCAAGGGCAGTCGGTAATGCGAGCTTCTGCTGCGCAAGGTGGTTTTCACCAAAGCGTAAACACTCGTATATTATAATAGTTGTTCAAGAGCTAAAACTGCTGCAAGTCGAAGTCTATGGGAATTCAATACCAACCTCTCGGTGTTGAAGGGTCTAGCTCTTTAAAGGTTTTCCAGAAGATCCTGAACAATGGGAATCTATCCATGCGAAATCAAATATTATATATGAATTGCCGGTTCCAGTCAAACCATAAGTAAATTACAGCTAAGCTGGTACGAAAATTCAGGAAATTATGAATCTTTGTATACCAAGCATTCTCTTTGTAATTTCTTGTGACACTTGCACTTACACTGAGACATGTCTATATTCACATAATAAGGAAAGATGCTTCACGCAGAAAAAAAGAATAAATGGAACCAATTCATTTATGAAATTATAATTTACATTGCTAAGAGAGAGATAATAAATACACGAAAAAAAAAAGCTTCTATGGATGAACACCAATGTGGTTACCAACACGCACCTAGACACGACTGAATTAAACGGCATATTCTACGCAATTACATACTGTATAGTACTTACCAAAGTCTCTAAAGAATTGCTAGCGTTTTCCAACAGATCTTCGTCAAAACGCATTGCGTTCTTTTCAAACAAGACGACCAACGTGCTACCGCCAAAGGCAAAGTAGCCCAGTTCATCTGCTCTGGCTAAACGATCACCGACGCCAGCTGTCAAGACAATAGAGCCCACCATCATAGCACCAATACACACAATAGCCACTCTGCCAAATGCCTCTGTCTCCATGTGCACAACATCGCGCTTATTATCGCCATAGACATCCAGCGTGGTACGAATAGCCATGGGATTTACCGTGTAGTATTGTCCTTGCACATTGTGTATCTTGCGAATCACACCATCAACTGGTGAATGGTAACGATGGTAGTCTTGAGGCGCCAATCTGAAAATAGCCAATGCACCGCCTTCATACGCTTTGGCTTCTTCTGCATCATCAAGTAACTTGGATATACTGAATTCAACACCCTTGATCCAAATATTAGTAGCACTATCAATGGTAGGGAATGCCATCATACGACAATCAGCAGGACTGACAGCTACACGCTTGTTATCAGGGGCGTCACAGGGACGACTTCCAGGCTTGAGCTTTCTGTAAAAGAACTCGTTGAATGTGTTGAAATTCTCCAAGGGCTCCAATACTTCGCTCATGTCCAGCTGATGGAATTTGATGAATGAATTGATTTCTCGCTTGGAAAGTGGGTTATCAAAGCGACGACCTTGTTTGACAGACATGTTGGCTAAGATACGTTGTGCTAGAGTATGTTGTTAGCGGATGAGCATAACACCATGAATACAGATGCTTTTTACCTGTCTTTGACTGAATACCCGAACGCATGCCCTTGTAGACCAATCTCATACCCAAACGAACATAGACACTCATGCGTTCATCAATCAATTGACCCGTCAAGCGGTCTTGCACAATGATATTGGCGTTGTTCGTTCCAGCCGAGTATTTACCGTAGCCTACCTTGTTGACCAGTTTCACAAACCATCTATACTTTCTGATTAGACACCCGCATACTAGGACAGTTTGCTTTGCAAAAACTTACTTGCGTTGTGCCTGCGCTTCAGAGCCAAAATTGCCCATCAAAAATCGATCCACTGTAGTCCAGTCATTGGCAGCACATGTAGCCACATGCGTCACGATATCCATCTGACCACGCTTTGCGAGGTTGGGTTTATGACAGATGGGGCATTCATTGAGCCGGATCACTTTTTCTTGTGCTGACTTGCGAGGATGATGTTCTTGAGCTTCACGCTCCAGGTCCTCCTTGTCTTGCTGCAATTTGAGCTCCTTTAATGGTCCGTCAATGTATTGAATGCCATCAGCCTCAGCTAAAGCCTCATAATCAGCCTCGTCAGGTGATTGGGGCGTAGTGGTGGATGTGGTAGAGCCAGAATGGGCCAAGTCGATATCATCTTCGTCGTAATCACCATGGCTGGAGAAATAGCCGCCCTCGCTGTCATCGCTATCGTCACTTTCATCCATATCATACTCGTCATCCTCTTCATCGTCATCCTCCTCGTCATCTGACGCAGCCAAGAAGAAAGGATTCACCGTATTATTGTTCTTTGCATCTACAGGCACATCTTTCTCCTGTTCAATGATCGTATTTGGTTCCTCCCCACCACTGTCTTGCTTGGTATCCACAGCTAAAATGAACGACTCCAAGCTGGCCACCAACTCATCCATGGTCAAGTCCTGATCAAAGTCTTTACCATGCTCCTGCCAAAAATGATCTAGGGTAGACTCAGAGATATTTGAGCCCAATGCTTCCAGCATGGCTTGTACTTCGAGTCGGCTCATGGTGTTGGAGCTGTCTGCATCACACGTCTTTGCCAAAGCAATCCAAAACATCTTTCTAATCTCCACATAGGGCACAAACTTGGCTCTAATTGTCAGCGTAGGGCGAACACTGTCTTTCCACTTGTCAGGTTTGGCCAACTTGAGAGGAATGGTATGTCTGCCCATGTTGCGCTCAATCTCTTGCGAGGGGCTATGATCTGCTTGGTCAAATGCGGTCGGTGTAGCTGTAGATTGAGTGACACTGGTAGGCATCTTTTGAATGATATCCGCGATGGAGATCTCTTGTGAAGCGACAAAATCGTTGCCCGAAAACTTGTCTTTATCGTACACGGCAAACTTGATTTTGTAGTTTTCTTGCGAGTTTCTGACGTGGAAAAAGAGCTTCTCGTTCCAAGTGGGGTTCAAGTTGTGTCGAATGGCTCTTGTTCTGAAAGTAGAGACACCATAACTGACAATAACAAAGGGGTCCATATCAAAGCCGGTGCGAGTGACATTTCTCTCGGGTGGAAGGTCTTGAGCACTTTCAATCTCCAAAAACGTAATGCCCATAACATCTGAATAGAACTTGGCGTACCCTCCTTCTGCCTTTTTCTTCTTGTTGCTAGTGCGACGACCTCCGTTTTTGCCCTTGCGACGTCTAAATTTGTTCTTTAAGCGTCTTTTTTCCTTTGGCTTTGATTGCTGCTGCTGCTGCGGCTGTTCGACCGAAGGTGTAAGGCTCGTAATAGAGGATGTGGAATTGCCCGTTTTCAGTGATCTTCTGAACCGACTGCTAAATGAAGTTGTACTGGAACTCTTTTGCATTTCCGGCGTTATGGTAGCAGCCGGCGTCGCAGGTGCTGTTGTGGGCGTTGTGACGGGAGGCGATGACGATAGAGCGTTGGTATCTGTATCATCGTCATCATGATCATCGATTAATAAAAACTGCAATTCTTCAGCAAAAGTGGCAGAGTCTGTTGGGATAGAGGTGCCTGAATCTGATCTGTATATCAGGCCAAATTGACAGCAGAGTTCAGCCTGATCAGCATCCGATGTGCTTGTGCTGGCATTGGCATCACTGCTAACACCACCACGCTTCTTTCTCAAATGAAATCGTCTATGCTGACGGCTTGTCCTTGATAAGGGATACCATTTAGCCTATTTAAAAAAAAAATATATTTTAGTATGGGTTACACGATCCTATTACTGTTTTAATTCAGAATACTTGCAGTGGTATCATCGAAAGCGATGTGATCTGGCGAGGAGAACAAATCGTCCAAGGACCAGCTTATTTGTCCTAAAAAGATGGAGGAGAACCGATCCTTGTTGAACACAGTGATGGATAAGCCATGCTCTTTGAGGGCTCTGAGTCTCTTTCGATGGCCCATGATATCATTGGATATATTGAATTCAAAGCTACACAGCCATTCTGGATCTGAGGATTTTCGGATGGTGTCTGTTCGTTGTCGAATGCCTCCACATCGCACATTGACATATGGATTCGGAACATTTGACTTTTCGGGAGGGGACTTAGTTTTGGTCGCAATCTCTTTGCACCCTATCCTTACCTCATCTTCTCGATTCAAATTACGCCCTCTGATGATATCCACCTTGAGCACTAAATCTGCGGGCACAATGTTGGTTTCAGCTTGATGATTCGACACTTGAGATGAAGCTGACGAAGTTCTGCTGTGTCGAGAGCGTCGAAAGGAAGACAATCTATGCACAAAAGGGATGCGATGGCTGCTTGCACGAGGTGTCTGTTGTGCCTCTGGTGGACTGAGAGTTGATTCGTCCATGTTGGCGGCGAGTATCGATTTGTTGTGTATGAAATGTGAAAAGAAAATGAGAGAGAAAGAGAGAAAAAAATGAAACAAAGCAATGACTTTATTTAAAATTTCACACCAAGACACCCATCCAACCCTCTAGTCCCCTATTATCCAGTTTCTTATTGTTAGTTACTAAATTTAGAGTTTCGCCATGATTTTGCCTATTGACAACTTTTCATGTGCTTGTAATGTCGAGGAGGGGGTTTGAGCAGTAGCACACAAATACGACACTGGAGACATACATCATCACTGAGCTTGCTGCTATTGGGTCACATCCTGGCGCTGAGCTCATGTTGATATCATTGTCAAAGTCGACATCCATTATGTTTCTAAACTTTGTTTATATATATCACGCTTTAAATCACTCAAAATGCTAAGCCTGCGCATTTTTGCGCTTATGCGGATTCTTCTACACCAATAGCCTGGATTCAGTAAAAAAAAAAGATGAGAACGAAGGGAGCACAGATCGCGTTTTGTAAATTGTACGCATTGCATTCAACGAGATCGGATGTTTGGATTATCCGAATCAAAGGAATGGGCCATATACACAGAAATCAGCATTATGCACATACCAGCTACAGTAGTTCAGCTTATAATGCGAGGCATCCCATCACTTGTTTCCACCTCTTTTTTTCCCCCCCTTTATTCCCTGCTTTACGATGCAAAGATTCTTTTTGTTCACTGTGGTATCCAGCTTTCTTAATGCCAGCTTTTGTGCTGTGGGTAAAATACCACTTTCACTAGAAAAGGACATTCTGTGCCAATCAAACGAGGTAAAATGGACACACAGCACCTGGTGAGCTCCCTTATCTAAGCGAAACCAAATCAAGATTGATCTAGCTAAATTCCTGGAATGCCATCATCCTCCATGACTTCAAGACAATTGCTCCCAAAGACGCAACCACCAGCGGTATAGATGGTCCGCTGACTATTGGCTCTAATTTAGCCATCGACAACTATTACATCAATAGCAAAGGCCACATCCATTGCCATTCCGATTACAATGAGTCTATACCATTAGCAGAATAGGGTTTGTACATGAATAACAAGGCGGATCACTCTACAGCTCATCAGCGATACCAAATAAGAGATGCCATAGTATCCGGCTCGACTCAATTGTATGGCGATAACAAGGCGGAGAGCAATGCGCACGTCAGTTTCCTTGATGGTACGGTGCGTCCAATGCAATCATGTCGACTGCTCATCAATAGAAGCCCTCACCAAGAAGAAACGCCTTCCTTCTCGACCTACGAGAACATTGCTAAAAAGACATCACTGTATTTGGCACTGCAAGACGCGACGCATACGTTATCAAAAGATGGACAAATTAAATCATGACAGCCTCACAACGCCGTCAATGACAAATATTATTATTTTAACTTCGCCTCTTGTCAAAACAATGCACTATGTGATATCAACACGGAAACAACATTTCTCTCAGACGCTAGCGTAGTTTCTCAAGCTATGAACACAGCTGTTGCGTGGCCCATAGATAAACCAATTATTTTCAATGTAAATTAGACATGTTGACTATTATGAGCTATCCTAGGCTCAAACCCATATCTGTGCATAGGTTCCAGTTACTAGAAACTCTACTTTTGAGCTCGACATCCCACAAGCATTTACAAGTCAGCTACCAACATGCAACACTGTATGGAATTTCTTCACTGTGGACGAGCAAGGCATCATGGATGACAGTGAAGAGCAGTCGTTCACTGTCAACAGAGTCTCTTATACAATGATGGGTGGTACATTTCTATTCCCCTTTGGTAAGTAATGAGGCGCTGTATATACAACACAAGAATGAAGCACTCATCGGGCTTGTCATGCAATTTTTAAAAAAAAGGCAACGTGGTTGATGGGCCTTCAGGGGGGTTTGCAGGTCAGTTGATTGCATCCAATTACGAGTCCAAGGGTGCAAGTCTATATGGTTTTGAAGCGATCGATGCATCACGTCACACTACCTTTGCATCCTGCTGGCCTCATTTGAGAAGAGATGATGCCATGTCAACAGAAATAGAGCCAGAGCAAGAGGATGATTTGGAATGGATGATTCGCAGAGGTCGTCAATTACTACCTGTCGCTATCTCAGATCGAGAGGATCAGAGCCCTTCCAAGCAGGATGAGATCAGCAAAGCCCTTGCTTCTACAACTACTGTCACAGAAATAGTATTACCCAGTGAAGCAGTATTAGGAAGCAGCGTATCCAGCATGTTGAGTGAATACTCATCTCTGTTGGATGTTCTCAATCCTCAGCACTTTTTTGATGAAGCGTATATAAGCCAGGACAAACATCCAGCAAACGATGCCGACATGGAAGCATTTGCAAATGCTCTTCTAGACCAGCAACCTGAAAGTCCTATGATAGAACGTCCTGCTGATTTCGCTCAAATATATGAAGGTCCAAAGACAACAGTGACAACCTAAGTAGACACAAGGGTCACGACGCATCATATCATGGAATATACTTCTATCACCATACCCTTTTCAAGAGTCAATACCATGCAATCTTCGACTGAGACATACACGGTCAACATGCCCCATAAAGTGGAAACGCTTCCCACGAGCTTCTCGCTTGATTTGATGGGAGATAGAGTTGTGACATTGTATTGAGATACCCAAGAGCTGACAAATAAACCACACAATCGGTTGATTGAGGCTTTTGAATATGCCAAAAGCAATATCCATTTTTCTGATTTAGCAGTCTTTTAAACTAGAGCAAGACCAAGAACAATGATGGCGGATCAAAAAATGCGCATGCTTGACATGGTATCTCCGCTCAGGGGAAAGTGAGATTTGGGATGTCGCATGCAATGATTTAGCATCTATCATTTTCTACACTGCAAAACCACGTTCATTGCCCCGTTATAATCTAGTTGTATATGGCTTGTTTAGTATAAATCGAAATGAGGGCAGTTTATAAAAAAGAGTCATCTGAAAAAAATACTAAATGCGCACAAAAGGTCTGTGAGTTGGTTGGCTTTTTTTTTTTATTAAAGTGTGAGTTGGATGACTGGGAACTACTTTAATACTATGCTTCCAGTCTCAATTTACCGAATGTTTGAAAAATCCGCACAAATAATTTGGCCAAACTTATGGTTAAAAAAATGTTATAAATATTCTTTTTTCAAGCACTTGGGAAGAACATTGATAGAATGCTGGATAAAATTCTGTAAATGTTCAACGGAAACATCGTCACTGCCTTCTATAACTCTTATAGTAAGAGATTCAAGTGCGTTAATATGATAAGTTGATAGCATAAGATGGTAATGAATGCACATAAGGGTATAGAGATTTTTTTCATCCATCTTCCATCTTTTCATTGTCTCACATGCCAGCCCTAATGAAAATTCAGCTTCCGCTAAGGTTAGCTTTTCATCCATCTTTCCATCCATCTTTTCATCCATCTTCCATCCATCTTTAGATTTTAATCAAACTGAAGTAAAAGCACCGGGAAAAGAAAAAAGAAACAATATACGACGTTTACCTAGTCATGAAAATCTCAAGGAATTTAGCAATATGCATGTTTTTTTATGTTGACTATACTGAAGAAAACGTTAAAAAATACAACAATCGACTTAAAGATTTCGGTAACGTTGAAATTTGCTACAACATCGAACCAAACCAACCCATCTTGGTTTCGATGGAACGAATCCGTAATAATCCTGAAAGCTATCATTTATATTCTGACAATTGTTGATTTATTTTGACCTTGAATGAAATAATTTCTATCCTCAAACTTTGTAATAAATCAAAATCTTCAACTAATTCCTGAGTGTTAAAAATAAACAACTCATTGCATTGGGCAAAGGTTTCAATTGCAATCTTTTTTAAAGAGGGATTTGTCTCGACCAACTTGATAATATCTTTGCTTCTTGTTGTTATACCGGCAAAGTCAATGGCAACCAAGCAAACGTCATGACTAACAGACTTGAGGTAGGTAAGCAAATCTTGGGTGTTACCATCAACGCTTAAATCGTCCATAATAGCTTGTGAATTAGGTTGTAAATCACGCGATTCAAGTGGCGTGGAGGCCCAGCTACAAGAAGAAACAAATATTTTGGTTGCAAAAGATCGTTCTTTCAAATTCGATATCATGGACTTTAAAAGTCTTGTTCTACAAGTAACGTCTTCGCCTGTTGGTGATTTTTGAGCATAACCTATGATTTCATATCCATTTTTCTTGAGGGTTTTCAATGATTCTTGGTATCTTGGCAAGTAAGAGCAAATGGAATTGATAAGGTCGTCTATAATTAAATACGTTAGAGATTGTTTCAATTCTGTCATGCATATCTTGGCTTACCGTAATAAATGTCTTCCAGAATATATACCTTGGCGGAAGCTGAATTTTTATTAAGGCTGGCATGTGAGACAATGAAAAGATGGAAGATGGATGAAAAAAATCTCTATACCCTTATGTGCATTCATTACCATCTTATGCTATCAACTTATCATATTAACGCACTTGAATCTCTTACTATAAGAGTTATAGAAGGCAGTGACGATGTTTCCGTTGAACATTTACAGAATTTTATCCAGCATTCTATCAATGTTCTTCCCAAGTGCTTGAAAAAAGAATATTTATAACATTTTTTTAACCATAAGTTTGGCCAAATTATTTGTGCGGATTTTTCAAACATTCGGTAAATTGAGACTGGAAGCACAGTATGCCGTATGTGTGTGTATATATGGCTGTGTAAAACACAGCTGCTTTTACTATCACTACTTCTACTACTACGGACTTGACTGAGCTTTTGTACATTTCGTGCAACTCTATACGTATGCATGTGATCGAATGTAGTGCAACATTGTATGCAATCTACAATAAAGGTATGTTCCAAGTCGATGGAGAAGGTAGCGTTGTATGTTCTATGTCTTGATCGTCGATCTCGTCTAATGGGTGGTGATGTTGTGAATGAAGGTATAAATTAGACCTCTTTTTACCGCTATCCATAGGCGGTGTCTTGTTGAATGGTAATTTACAAATCGTATAAAATTTCTCTGTATCCATGTAATATCGATGCTGGTTGTCATGGTGATTGATGCTGTGCAAAATATGATCAGCCTCATCCAGATCGTAGGTCACGCCCAAGCACAGTTCTTGCAATGAGCTGATCTTGGAGAGTAATTGGTGTATCAAGGAAGGTGACAGTAGATCCAACCCACTGACATTGAGTGTTTCAAGAGTAATTTTCATCAGGTTATCATCTATAGCGTCAAGAAGAGGAAAGAACGCATGATCGGTCAGAAGTCGGCAGCCAGAGACATCCACGTGCTTTAGTTGATGGCAGTTTTGGATGAACAACTATAGTGTGCAGTTTGAATTAGTAAAAACCAACATCGCTCTTGGTCATATATAAATTTAGACTTGCCTGTATAGCTTGATTCGTCACCCCTTCTTGATAAGCCAATAATAGTGTGCGCAGATGAATGCATTCCGTTGCCAGCCAGGAGATACCCTCTGCATTGATGCGATTGCATTCACTCATATCAAAGCGGACAAGTGATGCTCGACTGGGAGATTTGGCAATGACTTGTAAATGCTGACATGTCAGACTGTCGATATCACGAAAACGGAGATGCGTGAGTTGTACCTGATTTTTTGACAAGGATGCAAAGAATCGGGTCAAGGATGCACTGGATAATGTAATGTCACTGCAATGTTCCAGCCCCAAGTCATTCAGCTTTTTGCAGTGCTGGATGGCGTCCATGATAGCATCATTCACATCGGTAAGCCTCAAACGTTTCAATGTATGGCAATGACGATGGATAATCTCGACCAGCACCTGTGCGTCCAGTTTTCCACACCCGTACAGGACCAACGACTCCAATTGATGTGGTGACATGCTCAGCAGTGGCTTGATGACGGCGGTGGAGAGACAGTAGCATTTCGACAGATTCAACGATGAAAGCGATTTTTGAGCAGAGGCAATCATTGGATACAAGATGTGATCTTGAGCAGCAGCATTTGAAAACTTGAGCTCCCTGAGGTTGGGAAACAAAAAGTGATCAAAAAAGAAGCGCTCCAGATGATGAATGTCCTGCTTTGACGACAGGCAGAATTTCCAGACATACTTGTTGTAGGTGGAGGTGTGGTCCAATGTGTTTTTGATTTTTCGTAGAATGCGGTGTGATTTGGGGTTGAGTGTGTTCCATAATCCAAAGCAAGACGTGTGGTAGATTGCTCTGCAAGTGAGTGCCAGGTTGAGTAAATCTTTGGTGTCGACAAATGAGCATAGGATACGGCTTATTTCTGGTATAAGAATAGGGTTTTGCTTCATTTTATTAACGTGAAATAAGAGAGAGGGGGGAAGAGAAAGGGAGAAAAGAGGGAAAAGCAAGAAAAATCGACTTTGGTATTTATACGCTGCATTTAGGGTATTTTGTGTGCATCTTTGTGTGTGTGTGTGTGTGTGTGTGTGTGTGTGTGTGTGTGTGTGTGTGTGTGTGCGCGTGTGCGTGTGTGGGTACAGGACTCACTATTTTTGTTTATTGGATGATTTTGTCTCGATACGCTTCGATATTGTCAGGAGTCAAGACGGCTAGGAAAGAAAAGAGCTTAGTTTATACATCCACACTACAACTCACACAACTTACTGAGGTCTCTCTTGGATAAGGGCTTTTTGGTCAAGGGACAAATATTCTTCTTGCCTTCCCAATTTGTAAGACAACGCACCCAACTGTCATAACTGTTTATATTCATATGGCTGTTTTTAGTAAAAAACAAGGCGGTCTATGCTTTTTTTTAGGACTTACCCCATAACATGACCATAAGTGGAAATGGCTGGTTTGATCACCTCATCCAATGTAATGGGATCAATAAATCCAGGCAGAGGGTTATCATCTTCTGTTGCTAACTGTACTTGTGTGCTGCGTGTGCGTGTTCGTTTGCTGCTGGTGGATGCACTGGATCTCACTTTAAATGTGCCTGAGGTATCATTGTAATCTTCCATATCATCCTCATCCTCGTCCTCGTCACTCGAGTTCCATGTGAACGCTCTTCGTTTTCGCTTGCTCTTGTGTTTGGATGTGGTGGCAGTTGACTTTTGTGTATTACGTTTTCGATAAACAGAGGCTATCGTAGTGGAGTCATCAGGTGTTTCAGGGCCGGATGATACATCCGTAGTAGATGATGAAGAAAGCAAAGAAGACAGCGTTGCAGCTCCATGCTTGCTGTAGGTGCGTATAGTCTTTTCAGTGCTCCCATCCACTTTTTTCTTATCAAACAAGTAATGCGCTTTCCCATTCTCGTCTACAACATAGTTTGGATCTTGAATTTGGTTCGTTTCTACTAGCAGTCGATAGTAGTTGGAACATTGATAGCCTACGCGACCAGGGATTTTCATGGCAAAGATGCCCCATTGACCTTTGGATCCCACCTCCTCTATTCGCTTGTGAAATAGGACTTGTTCCTCTTTCGTCCATGGACCTCTGCGTTGCTCTTCACCAGGTGCATTGAAACGGTAATAGTAGCTGTTGGGATTCTGTTCAATCATTTGATAGGCTCGAATGCGAGCAGATGACCAACCCTCGAATGGATTTACACTGTTATCTTGCATTTTTTTGAGTGCTTCATCGAGACCTAAACGGTCTGGCCTTGTGCGGTACGTCCTTTGGTAGACCACTGTTAGCATCCATGGATGTACTTTCTGACCTGCAACTCACTTCTTGGCTGTCTCGTCTGTCGTCTTCTTCAGGGTCTTTGATCGTTTTTCCAAAAGATGTGTGTAGTTGGCTTGTTGTTCCTCGTTCAGGGTTTCTTTGGTTTCTTGCTGGATATGCTTCATAGCAATGGATTTGCGAATCTCATGCAAATAAGCAGGCTGAGTGAGGCGAACGATCACTTCTTGCTATCAGTCATTACATGTTTTAGTTTCTTTGCGAATCAACTATCAACAGCTCAATATACCTCATCATTACCGCTTTCATCCAGCATCGCCATGACCTCTTCGCTGGTGAGATAATCGTAGACATCCTTTACCTTTCGTATCTTGCGGCTCTTTTCCTTTTTTTCGAATTCTTGGTACTGTCGCTGCTGCAGCGCTACTCGTTGTTGGATGATGGCTTGTTCTGATTCAGTTACTTGTTCGCTAAACACACTTTCTTTGCGTACTGTTTGGATCTTGACACTAGAGCAGATATGAGATATATACCACAAACCCAAGCCTTTTGCCATCTTACTGTTCAGCCAAATCAATCCGAAAAGCATCTTCTTGCGCACTATCATCTGTCACTTGCGGATGTTGTCGAAGCTTGGCCTAGTGATTCGTCTTGAGTACACATCTAAGCAGATATCCAGTAGATACATTCTTACCAGCAAAGGTTCAGCTTGAACCAAAGAGGGAATGGGCACCTGTTTCCAATGTACGTTATATGTATCTCCCTTTGCAACATCTATTGCATAGTAGAGTTAGTCACTGTGTGTGTATACACTTCTACTCATCCAAAAAACGATGTGCAAAAGATGTCTCTTTTCAACTTGAAAAATAGATGGTAAAGTCTCTCCAAGCCTGCATAACTATACCTTCTTTATAGTATATAGAAACAAGCTTCTCTGGCTCTGTCATTTCTACTTGTTTAGCGTGCCTTATAGTAGTACTTTGGGTGAAAGGATTTAGGAGCTTCATCGCACTCGACACGGTTTCAATCCCATTTTCATATTTGGCGGACGCGCCTTTGTTACCGTGCCGCCGTCCAATAGTGAGCACGATTGCCTGATGGAATCAAGCTCAAGTAAATGTTGCAATACGTGAAAGACCTGTGTTTTTCTTGAAAGAAAGGTTTGACGAGATTTTATGAACAACAAAACATGACATCACATCTTAGAATGTATGTCACCAAAGTGAATTCATGGTCTCCCAATGCCATTTATATGGATTCAGTGCTTGCAGCAAAGCATTATTGGAATATCGATTGGTGTGCAAGGCTACGAACGAACTTGCTGGGAAGGCCATGTTCAGTATGCCCATTCGTACAGACAATGAAGAAACAACAACCCTACTGGTCTTTTATTGAAAAAGAAGCACCAATTGGTGTTGCTCATCGCCACTCTTGAGGTTGGCTCCAACATATCAGACGAAGCTGTCAAGAAGATACTGCAAGTAGTATTTACACCGAGCAAGCGAAAATTAACAGGCCATGGCACTGGTATGCTCTACAGGGCAATTTTCGGCATTGCTGAAAGATCTCCTGTCAAGTTTGACGGGCTGACCAGCATCCACTATGGCCCAGAGCTCTCCAAAAACGCTCTACAAGCACTGAACGTGGTTAATGACATTGAGAAGTATAAGCTTGCAATTATCAAGACCAGGCGTTGATCGAACATTTGCTGGGATCGTCGTAGACGCTCCTAACCTCAAATCACTCCCAATATGTCTCCGTTTCGGGCGATATATTACAGCTGGAAGATAGCCTGAAGGGCAGAGCAACGTCAAGCAGAGAGCCAATGTCGAGACCTAGAGGGGTTTGCCTATTGATTGCCGCACTTGCATGGATTATTTGCAGTTTGAATTCCCCAATGTACAGCATCTCTCTTTGGAGAGCAATAGCGTGATAGAGGAGAAAGAGATGCATCCTTTGGCTTGGTCAGTTGCTAAATTATTGGGATCGTCAAGGCTGTCAAACGCCTGCCATTTTGCAAACTTCAGTGCAACATTCCTATAGTCACAATCTCTTTAAGGTATTCCAGGCTTCCGCTAGTACATTCAGTTTCTTAAAAATGGGCTATCACGATTATCCCAACGAAAAAATTGTCCTCTTGACAGTTAGAAGCCATTCACTGGAGCAAACTACTTCTCGCGTTTCCAACCTTACCACGAACATGTAGAGACAAACTTGTTGAATTGTTGCATATCGAAACGAGATGATACTGATAATAGCTAGAGAAGGCGTACTATACCTCGAGATGAAGCTGCTATCTATATCGGCTTGATCTTTTACGTTACACGTTGCAGTGAAATCAGATTTAATGGATTTTACAAATAAAATTAAGCAATAGTAAAATACAATAGATATCAAATGTACTTTATTTGTGTGTAAAATGAACTGAAGATCCTGGAATTGAGTAAAAAAAAAGTAGAAGAGTATTTATACAGTTGTAACTAGCTTGTTGTAGGATTAATGATATTAGAGTACAATAGATGCTGCTATTGCGATATTATCTGGCAAATGTTGATGTCTAATCTAAAGCAACAATCAAAAATGCAAGAGCATTGGCCGTAAGGGTCGATTTGAGTACCTTGATGGGCTTGAATAAGCTTTCGCCATAGCATGATTTAATGCAACCTTGACAATTTAAGGTGTGATGTCTGTTATTGAAGTGTAGAACACTCCATCTGGGCTATTGTGCAATTATGGCATTAGGGTATGGTTGTCATGTTTGAATATGCTTGTTGTTGATTTTATTTCGTTCATTTGGATAAAGGTAGCATCACTTACGACAACCATCATGGGTGTGATTGAATACACTGTGATCAGGAGTGATTCATTTACATGGTATGCTTAAATGGTATTTCGATGGTGCACATTTGAGCGCTTTATTGGTAGATTCAAATAGCATGGGCTTGAACAAGCGATATTTGGTGAATTCCGGCTTTCAATCAACTTGCGTTTGGGTAGAAGTTTCATTACATATAGTACAACCCTGTAATCCATAATGTATCTGTGGCTAGTATCACGGATATAAGCATGTGTCTTGTGCTGTGGTGGGTCATGAAGTGTACATTCGAAGCAGTAAGCTAATAATATTGCATCGGTCTTGGTGCTTATCCAAATATGACAAACATCTGTAGTCAATGTCGGAATACAAGTAGAAGCCTATAGCACCATCCATGTCAGTGATGACATCTATAACCTACAGGTTAAATAGTATAAATCTTTTAGTACTAGCGTATCTGACGTTTATATCCTTATTATACTATAAAGTCGTATCTTGCATCTACTCCAGTGCACACATAGTTTATATCTAAACCTGGTAACTGGATGAACTATGAGTTTGCAGATCAGAGTGGATGTATTTCACACCTACAATGTCTCCTCTCAAATCAGGCTTTCAATCCCCCAAATCGGAGTTTACGGTGGTAAACGCACATTTTTCCTTAATAACAGCACAGAAACGTCCATGCGGTGGTCAAGTTTACGAAATAAATTTAGGGCATTGTATGACTCATGCTGGCACACAAAAAAAAGTTTATATGCGCCATTGTAACAAAAGTTTTCTTTGAGCGATTGGTTTTGGACAACTTGGCTGGAGCAGACTGTTGTCAAAATACAGTATAAAATTGAACCTGCCAAAGAATCACGCTTTCATTGAGAATGCATTTATATACTTTTTATTATGCTAGGGTTTACAGCATGATGATGAACTATAATACAAATAGGTTTAGTATCTACCCAAAAATTGATTTGTAAATTATGATTAGAATGATTTACCCAAAGGACCTACGAATAGCCTAAAACGTTTAGTGTGAAACCTTGCTATGACATTTGATATAACACTGACCGTTTCGGCAGTGTAGGCCCCTGAAACCATTTAAACCCGACTTCACTACAACCTCTTAGTGTCTGAACTGGATGGTGATGAGGTGGATCAGGTGGGCACAAAGACTTTGGGTGAGCGGCCTTGGATACCAGACAATATTGACGATATGAAATCGTTCGCATGGCATTTTTATACGGACCTACACAAAGCAGATCATGTAGAGCCTGGTGACGTTGAGGCATATTTGGATGCAGTGACATTTGAGAAAGCGCTGACCGCGGATGAGCAGCAATCTTTGATTGATCCTATTACTCTGGATGAGCTGTTGCAGAAGGCATATCGTTCAATTAAGGCTACAGCTCCTGGTAGTGATGGTCTGGCCTATCCTTTTTTATCGCTCCTATTTCAAATGACTCGTTTGAAAGAGCTTGTCTTACGGCTGTACAATGACGCTCTCAAGGGTATCTTTCCTTCTTCCTGGCATGATCTGCGTATGCGTCTACTACCGAAGAAGGGCCTGCTTACGTTGCTCAAAAATTGGCGTCCAATCTGTCTCCTGGGATGTGATGGCAAGGTCTTTACCAGACCTCTTGCTCATCGCATGGCTCCAATTATTCTTGGGCGGATCATTAACCCGTTCCAATCTGGTTTCCTGCAACAAAGGTTTATCTGTGGCAATGGCTTAGCGTTATCGATGGTCTTGGAAGAGGCTCGGGCCATCCACCACAAGGGTGCTGATATCCTACTTGATAAGGAGAAAGCTTATGATCGGGTGAATACTAACTATCTCTGTGTTGTTCTTCGTCGTCTTGGGTTTCCCGCCAGCTTGGTGTCATGTGTTAAATCATTGTTCTTTGGAAATAACATGTACATCAATGTCAATGGGTACTTCACCTCAGCCGTCAAACAGGAACGGGGTATCCAACAAGGCAATCCTTTGTCCCCTCTTCTTTTCGATGTTGCACTGGAGCCTTTCCTGTTATCCATCCTTCAAGACACTTGTTTCCATGGCTTTAAGGCGAGCAATGGTGCATCTGCGGATATAGTCTCTTCTCCTGACCCACCAGCTGTCAAATGCCTCGCGTACGCTGATGATGTCTGTGTTCTTCTACGAGACGAACTCAACCTGTATCGCCTCCAACAACACATGGCCAAATATGCAGCAGTATCCAATGCCAAGTTCAATGAAGACAAATCGGAAGCCTTTTCTCTGTCTGGTAGTCGGTCTCCGGCGTGGGAGCATGTCTTTGAAGAAATCAATATTCACACATACTACCATCAAGGCACTGTGGCGGCCTTTCAATATCTTGGTCTATACTTTGCGTATAATCATGCTCAACGGGCTCAAACGGAAAAAATGCTTCTCAATTCTGTCAAGAACTAATTTGAAATCTACAGCCAGCACCAATTTTCCATCATGCGACGAGTAACTATCGCCAACGGCCTTATTGATTTATCAGAAATAAATTATTTATAAAAAAGAGTATGAAATTAATCAGGTAAAGAATATCGTTTATTACATTGAAAATAAGAGGGTTTATATACTATTCGAATTGAGGGATTTGATGAGAGGATAAGGTATTAGATGGGTTGATTTGGGTGATAAGATAATAGATCCAATCCATTATCCTGAACATGCCATGATATGGATCGTAACTGAATCCTGTTTCATGTCAAAGTTTATGATCTGATGTGACCGGTGCTTGAACTGCTTGTTTCTATGCATTTGGAGATCCGGTTTAGAAATGATACATCAGTATGAATCTTATAGTACTAGCGTATCTGAAGTCCATATCTTCGTATAGTATAAATCGATATCGTACTGTACATCTAATCCGGTGTACATATAGTTTATATCTAAATATGGTAACTGGATGAACTGTCGGAATGCAGATAATAGTGGATGTATTCCACAATTTCGATGAGACTAACTCATGTAAACTTTGATGCGTTATTATGTTGTCGGTAAGCCTGATAATGGTAATGGAAATGAGAAAGCGAATATGCTATTTAAGCACTAAGGCTTTACATTTTGGCTTCGCTACGGTAAAACCACCTTTAAAATCGCTGTTATCATGTATTGGGCTAGATGCTTGAATACTATTTTGGTATTGCACCTTCGCCTTCCTATGATAAAAACCTTATATAAATTAATGCTAACAAAAGTTGGATTAAATGCTAGATTGGCATGGCCATTCACCTTCGTTTGACTACGGTATAACCCCCTCAAGGCCAATTATACCAACAAGTGTTGCCTTGAAACAACATATCACGCAATCCATAGCCAAATAGCAAACAAGAAATCACTTGATCAGATACGCCATGTTCTTGGAAGAAGAGCCTTTAATCTCTGATTAACTACGATGGCGCTTTTGTGTTCATATTTTCCAGTATCCGATATATGAAACCTCCGTGGTGCTATACCATACCATGGCCTAGAGCTTACCTTGATAGTAGTTGAATGCACGTTTATACAGTACAACTCCAAAAGAATTCACTCTGAATTTGCTAGCCAGCAACCAGCAATACTCATATTACCGGAATAGTTTAAAGAATCTTCTGCCATTACATTTTAACTAAATTATTTTCCGTTATTGGGAATAGTCAATTCGATCAAATCAATTTCAAACTTTTCAATTCATTACATTCTTACCCATGAAAATGTGATATATTTAAAAGAAACCACAATTTGACAATACTAAGATTTTCTCACTATATATAAGAATTCAATGTTCGTTAAATGTCAGACGTGAGACCATCAGCGTCTTTATATAAAGAAGTGTGGCCCAGACGTGAGCTTTCAGCGTCAGTATAAAAGAAGCAAGCTCCCCCCTTTTTTTTTTCATTGTCAGGTGTCAGGTACACACAGACTTTGTGTGTAACTTTTTTTAATTTAGTATAAATATCAACTTAGTTTGCAAAACAATAAAGATCATCTTATATCTCAATTCTATTCTTTTATATACATTTATCTAAGTCTACTCTAAAACTATACCTATACACACGACACAGGTGCACACAGACTTTGTTAGTAACTTTTATAGTTAATATGAATATCAAAAATAATAAAGGTTATTTTTTTTCTCACTTATACTGCTGAGACATATACATTTATCTAAATCTGTTACTTATACTCACAGCACCATTAAATAAAAAAACACTTTGTAACATTCTATGCGGAAACTTTTTGATAATTTTACATTTATCTGCTAGTAACTTTTAAACGAATCAGCTCTAGTACACATTCAAAATAACATTCATATATTACGAACTGTTCAACAACGCGATGGCATAGTAAAAGCGAATATAGTACCACAAAATTTCGAGAACCTAATTCCACTACAGAAGCAGTTTCTGAAGATTATTATCTACAGTCTGATTGGATTATTTTGTATATTCGACACGGTCATCAAGCGATTGAGAAACAGTATCTAATGAATATTGTGGCAAACATTGTATCGTATAGTATTAAAAGACAATTTTTCATGTATGTTATCTTTTTACTATCTTATGCCGTGCAATAGATAGCATCCTATTAATAAAATTAAACAGTATGGGCCCGCTTCTGCAACAAAGGCAACATAATAATGTGTGCTACTCTTTGGGGTATTCAATGCATGCATCTTTAATAAACTCAGTAAATTTGTAAGCCATGTCTTTCTACGTGTTGTATTCACATATAATCCAGTCCAGCCTTTCATAGTATTGATCTATACGAGGGCTTGATTGTTGCGAAGCGAATATGCAAAATCGTAGTATCTAAGTAGTAAATTCGATTTCTCTCCTTCTTTATTAATAATGGATTGTTTAAAACCTACATTTATAGCTGTGTTTATTACTGTTAATGATTTGGAATGTCTACGGCGACAGCCCGCAGGGTGACACCGTCGTCAAGTGTAGTGATATTGCATCTAATTCAACATTTGTTAATATTAGTCCTAATCGATTTTACCGTAGCCAAGCAAAGGTTTACAACCATAGTGTTCAAGCAGCAAATTCGGGATCTCATTTGCATTGTTAATAATAAGCTTATCAGCAACATAGGGCATCAAAATTCGCATGAATTAGTCTTACAAAATCAATATGTCTTCTGTTGAAATTACAAGCTGCACAGGTTGCAGAACTGCCCTTCCAGACGGCTTTAGCTACTAAAGATGTGGTTCATGCCGTGTAAATAAAAGCCATAAAGCAAAATATAACCAAATTGGACAGTTTTCAAGCCCTCATATCTTGACATGTAGACCTTTCTGAGCCACCGGAATAACGCCAAACAATTGCACTTGAGTAGTAGTAACTTTCTGACACCTTTGCTCAACTTTTTGAAAACCTAAAAATATGGCCAAAAATCAACCAAAAAGCATGAGGTACCCCTCATGGTTTTTTTACGAAAATCAAAGGATCGCATTTTTCGCCTTGAGAATAAAGACTTTTACTATGGCATATATCAAATTAAAATGTTTCTCTCAATCCAGAGCAACCTCTGAAACCACTTTTATGAGGCTTTCATACACAGAATATGGCTATTTTCGCTAAAAACCTCATTTCAAATTTTATTGAATTGCTCAATAGTTTCAATCAAAACACTTATTACAATTAGCACCATCGGAAGCGCCTTGAGAAGTACTTCAAAAATGTATTAGGAAGCGTAGGGTGATCATCACAGTTCATATAGTCGAATACCAAAAAATAGATTAAAGAAGTCGAAAAAAGACGAGATCTGTCCAATCTTGAGCAGAAAAAAAAGCTGAGGTTGAATTAATTTTGGCGGCGGCATTGCTGATGGCTGACCCAAATGCCTTTCTGTTGATGATAATGATGGTTGCGATGTTGATTAAATGAGGATCATGGAATTGAAAGGGTTATTGCTTAACCCAAATACTTTTTTGGGTGCCTTTGTTACAAGCGAGCCTTCTGCAATGTCAACATTTCAAAAAAGTCGCTGTAGATCTTACACAAGTCCTTTATTTACTTATGACCAGCTTTATGTCGCCATCTTATTAAGAGCATCAGCAGCAGTGAATGATATGACAATTCTATTATCAAAAAATGGCATTTGTGATATACAAATACTGCATAAAATTTGAATTTCTTTCGCATTGTCCCAATAATAGGCTTTGTTTAATATCAGCGTAAGCAAAAAGGATACTAAGGGAGATACCTCCTCTCCTCCTCCTGGCTCTGATACAATCTTTCTGTTACTAACTAATAATAAATTGTTTAAAATCTACTTGATATACCAAAATGTTATAATGTCTGATTTAAAACGGCTTCGATGAGAGCCCACAGGGCGACGCCGACATCGAGCGTAGCGAGATGAATGGGCAAGTAATAAATACTGGAAGCTTTGAACATAAAAGCGTCGTAGTAGCAAATTAGAGACTGCAAGCCCTTGTCCCAAGAACACACTGCATCTAATTTTAATAATGTTATACCTGCTATACTTAGCTGTGGATTAAGTGATTTGTGGTGTCAAGGCAACATTTGCTAACCTTGACCTTAAACAGGTATAATAACCCTAAGGAAGCAAACGTGAAAAGCCATAATAAAGCAGTAAATTTGGTTTCTTATTTTCATTTGATGCATTTCACATCATAATCCATTATATTACACCTAATACAACCCATCAACATCCCATCGATTTTTACATACACTACTAAACGCACATCAAACTACAGTCTACACGCACATCAAGACCCAACAAATAGTCAACTAGTAGGATGACTATTACTGAAACAATACCATTTAATTCAATGACATACAAGAACGGTTACAATTACACTTAACTGTAGATTATCTACACATATCATTTACAAAAATCTACTGGATCATCACACTTGTCTTTACACCTCAGGATCTGACATTATTCACAAAGATATAAATGGGACCACACAATTCATTCAATAAAGGATCGTCTTAATTTTGCACAGAATGATAAACTGATAATTTACTGATACATTCATTTGTATGACTTTAGTTATCTAGCACCTTGTTGAATATATCAGCTTGTAGCTCATAAAATTTATATTTTTCAGCAAATTTATAAAGAAAACGTACATCTGGTACTTGAAACCCTTACATTATGATGGATCTAATGTAGAGCTATTGAATGGTCTTTGTTTTGTGCGAATCCGGTTAGTATTTGTCGAGGTATGTTCAAAAAATGGTAGCATGCAAAATCATTGATTTTGCTTCAAAATCTGCCTGTGATAGCAAGCAAAAAATCTGGTGACCTTTTTTTGGTCAGGACAATATTGTCAATATTTCATGATAGAGTTATGCCAGAGCTTCAAGCAATAGCTCATTCGGTAGGATATGTTCTGGTCTACAATGATTAGTAGTGCTTAACAATATGTTTTGATGAAAGATAGTAATTAATCTTTAGAAAGCAGTCAAAAAATCGCAAAAACAATTGTACCAAATATTTGGTGAACAATGTACACCAGAGACTTGATATAAATACCATTGTATTCTGCTTTGAATTCTCTACAAGTTTCATATAAGTTTGAAGGGGTGTTTACTATCAAGAATCAAATAGTTTTAGGTCGATAATAGATTTAGAAAACTCATGGACCATCATCCAGAACAATAAAGATTCAATCTCCGTTTGGCCTTCGCATGTGTACTGATGTATCATTTTCTAAACCGGATCTCCAAATGCGTAGAAACAAGCAGTTCAAGCACCGGTCACATCAGATCATAAACTTTGACATGAAACAGGATTCAGTTACGATCCATATCATGGCATGTTCAGGATAATGGATTGGATCTGTTATCCTATCACCCAAATCAACCCATCTAATACCTTATCCTCACATCAAATCCCTCAATTCGAATAGTATATAAACCCTCTTATTTTCAATGTAATAAACGATATTCTTTACCTGATTAATTTCATACTCTTTTTTTATAAATAATTTATTTCTGATAAATTAGCTACTACTTTAGCAAAGCGATATTTACGTTGTTGTTACAGCTACATTATTTATACTCAATCACCTTAATAAATTGCTACTTTCAAATTATTAACAAATATTAGATATGTCGTCGGTAAGTCTAAATATAGTTGGACTAGATACTTTCAGTTATGCTGGATCTGAGCATGACTAAATGAGTTTGAGCGGATTTGACATCATGAATCTGTAATTTATATGGTGTATATAATGGGTCTGATTGTTTATAATCTCTATGACATTTGTTAATCTGCAAAATACATGGCCACTGGTACTATTAGATCCGGTAGTAGTCTACAATATGGTAACAATTGACTCTATTTTTTGTTTCTTGCTGTTCAAACCGTGCAATATTGATTAAGATTTATTTATTAAAAAAAAATGCTACAATGAGAATTAGCCTTCATTAAATTTGGGGTATGGCAGAAGCAGCTTTATTAGCTCGATTGACAGATCGCCATCATAGCCATTTCAACAATTGATATAGCACTAAGACCCAGCAAGTGTTCTCATGAAAACATAGATGTCTTTATGTAGAATCCTATTTGATGCTTTCAAGTGAGCACCTTGACCTTCTCAAAGAAAGATGCTCTCGTATGAAAACATCGAGATTTTTAAATATCTGTGAGCCAAAATTTTATACACTTATATGCGTCGGTAAACGGTATAAAAAAAAGCGAGAAGATCAACGACTAACTTCAGTAAAATACATGTTTGACCCACATGTCGTCGGATAGCTGCCTCACGTCTTTAGCTTTCAGTCGATGGAAGGATCTGCAAATCGAAGCCGCTTCCCCCTTCTGACGGCCGCCTCTTACGGAAGCAAGTGTCAGAGACGAAGCGGATTGCTTTCTCGCCCAAGGAGAGCGGTATGCTTAGCTATCAGTTGGTCTACTTTCAAAAAATAGCAGATCATAAAGTGCTTGGCTCGTCAACAGCATCGATGAGTGTTGTCAGTGTGGAATTTGAGGCTTAATAAGACTAAATTTCACAAAAAAAAGAATAACAGTAAAGTCAACTTGATAAAGGTATGTTTTATTATCAAACTGACAGGTGTAAAGTAAACTGAAGTCTCTCTACTGGCCAGGTAGATGATCCTTCTTATATACTATAACAATGGATAAAAGTTCTATTAATTAGATTGACAAATAAGTCAACTCAGATCAACTAATGTTTAATCATGCTAAAAGACAACTCCAGCAAGCTAATCATGATTTAGCTCTGTCTGGATGAATAATTAGACTCTCATCCGAAGTACCCTGATCTATCCTTTCTATAAGGATAATTAATATCGATCTAGTAGCATGTATCCGATAGGTACAGTCTTCTTAGTCTATATTAATAGTACATATCTGAGTGTATATCGCTAAGCATACATCTTTAGCATGTATTTGGATATATGGCATGTCTATAGCATATCGTATGCATGTCTATAGCATGTCTCATATATTGCACAAGTCTGTAGTACATAAAGTATCTGTAGCTAGTATCACGGATATAAGCATGTGTCTTATAGCGTGGATCATAAAGTGCACATCTGAAGCAACAAGCTCATATTGCATTAATCTTGGTGCCTATCCAGATATGGTAAACATCCGTAGTCAATGTTGGAATACAAGTATAAGTCTATAGCGCCATCCATGTCCGTGGTGCCATCTATAGCCTATATCTTATATAGTATGAATCTTATAGTACTAGTAGCGTATCTGAAGTCCATATCTTCTTACAGTATAAATCGATATCGTACATTTAATCCAGTGTACATATAGTTTATATCTAAATCTGGTAACTGGAGGAACTGTCGGAATGCAGATCATAGTGGATGTATTCCACAGGTACAATTCTTTCCCAGTTGTCTTGGATTGATAGACGATGAGCTTGCAAAACCAGTTCAAAATGATCGAGACAATCGTTTGGTGTTGCGAATACAGCTCTACGCTTCTTGAAGAAGTGTCCACGCCATTGAAAATAGGGTGTTTCATTTGGTACCAAGGTACTCTCTGTCTTTCCAAATACCAATTCATAGGTGCGTTCAGCCATCTCAAGTTGATTACGCAAGACACCAAGATTTGAAGGTATGATTGATCCTTGTGGACATCCAATGCTTTGAATAATAGTTTTGAAAACCATTAGCCTCAGCCGTTCAATTTCGTTCATCAAGGTCAATCTTTCATCACTTGAGATTGGGGTGGCAAATCCTATATCCACATGGTTTGTAAGTACATCATTATTCCCTCTACTAACATTATCAGTATTGTAGTTACCTTGAGGTACTGGAATATGATAAAAGGTGGTAGATGCATTGTCAACGTTCGCATCACCTACAGAAGCAGCAGTATTCCCGTAAATATTACTACTAGCACTGACACTGCCTGTTTGACTCCCATGAATCTCAGCAGGTACAGAAAAATTACCAGATGCATCACCATTGATAGCATCGGTTGTAACAGACGTTCTAGTAGGTAAATCCCTATGGATAATACCAACGCTGGAAGAACTAGCAGATGAACCACCATTGATTACATCTTGACTAGCAGTGATGATAGGATAACCAATCTCCATTAGAGTGGCAGCAATTGAGCCTTGAACATCAGTACCGACAGGAGCAGCAGAAACTACCGGATTGGCAGCAGTAAGAGTTTGATCGGTAGAGGTAATAAAACCAACAGCAGCAACAGTAACCTCACCAGTATTAGTTTCACCAGGAGCTTTTTGATTGACGGCCTTGTAATTGAATTTCTTTGGTGACATAGTAAGTAAGACTTGATAGCAGTAAGAGATCCAGAGTAGATAGAGTTGTAATAAACGAGATTTGTTGAATACAGATTAAAAAGTGATTTATCAGAAATAAATTATTTATAAAAAAAGAGTATGAAATTAATCAGGTAAAGAATATCGTTTATTACATTGAAAATAAGAGGGTTTATATACTATTCGAATTGAGGGATTTGATGTGAGGATAAGGTATTAGATGGGTTGATTTGGGTGATAGGATAACAGATCCAATCCATTATCCTGAACATGCCATGATATGGATCGTAACTGAATCCTGTTTCATGTCAAAGTTTATGATCTGATGTGACCGGTGCTTGAACTGCTTGTTTCTACGCATTTGGAGATCCGGTTTAGAAAATGATACATCAGTACACATGCGAAGGCCAAACGGAGATTGAATCTTTATTGTTCTGGATGATGGTCCATGAGTTTTCTAAATCTATTATCGACCTAAAACTATTTGATTCTTGATAGTAAACACCCCTTCAAACTTATATGAAACTTGTAGAGAATTCAAAGCAGAATACAATGGTATTTATATCAAGTCTCTGGTGTACATTGTTCACCAAATATTTGGTACAATTGTTTTTGCGATTTTTTGACTGCTTTCTAAAGATTAATTACTATCTTTCATCAAAACATATTGTTAAGCACTACTAATCATTGTAGACCAGAACATATCCTACCGAATGAGCTATTGCTTGAAGCTCTGGCATAACTCTATCATGAAATATTGACAATATTGTCCTGACCAAAAAAAGGTCACCAGATTTTTTGCTTGCTATCACAGGCAGATTTTGAAGCAAAATCAATGATTTTGCATGCTACCATTTTTTGAACATACCTCGACAAATACTAACCGGATTCGCACAAAACAAAGACCATTCAATAGCTCTACATTAGATCCATCATAATGTAAGGGTTTCAAGTACCAGATGTACGTTTTCTTTATAAATTTGCTGAAAAATATAAATTTTATGAGCTACAAGCTGATATATTCAACAAGGTGCTAGATAACTAAAGTCATACAAATGAATGTATCAGTAAATTATCAGTTTATCATTCTGTGCAAAATTAAGACGATCCTTTATTGAATGAATTGTGTGGTCCCATTTATATCTTTGTGAATAATGTCAGATCCTGAGGTGTAAAGACAAGTGTGATGATCCAGTAGATTTTTGTAAATGATATGTGTAGATAATCTACAGTTAAGTGTAATTGTAACCGTTCTTGTATGTCATTGAATTAAATGGTATTGTTTCAGTAATAGTCATCCTACCAGTTGACTATTTGTTGGGTCTTGATGTGCGTGTAGACTGTAGTTTGATGTGCGTTTAGTAGTGTATGTAAAAATCGATGGGATGTTGATGGGTTGTATTAGGTGTAATATAATGGATTATGATGTGAAATGCATCAAATGAAAATAAGAAACCAAATTTACTGCTTTATTATGGCTTTTCACGTTTGCTTCCTTAGGGTTATTATACCTGTTTAAGGTCAAGGTTAGCAAATGTTGCCTTGACACCACAAATCACTTAATCCACAGCTAAGTATAGCAGGTATAACATTATTAAAATTAGATGCAGTGTGTTCTTGGGACAAGGGCTTGCAGTCTCTAATTTGCTACTACGACGCTTTTATGTTCAAAGCTTCCAGTATTTATTACTTGCCCATTCATCTCGCTACGCTCGATGTCGGCGTCGCCCTGTGGGCTCTCATCGAAGCCGTTTTAAATCAGACATTATAACATTTTGGTATATCAAGTAGATTTTAAACAATTTATTATTAGTTAGTAACAGAAAGATTGTATCAGAGCCAGGAGGAGGAGAGGAGGTATCTCCCTTAGTATCCTTTTTGCTTACGCTGATATTAAACAAAGCCTATTATTGGGACAATGCGAAAGAAATTCAAATTTTATGCAGTATTTGTATATCACAAATGCCATTTTTTGATAATAGAATTGTCATATCATTCACTGCTGCTGATGCTCTTAATAAGATGGCGACATAAAGCTGGTCATAAGTAAATAAAGGACTTGTGTAAGATCTACAGCGACTTTTTTGAAATGTTGACATTGCAGAAGGCTCGCTTGTAACAAAGGCACCCAAAAAAGTATTTGGGTTAAGCAATAACCCTTTCAATTCCATGATCCTCATTTAATCAACATCGCAACCATCATTATCATCAACAGAAAGGCATTTGGGTCAGCCATCAGCAATGCCGCCGCCAAAATTAATTCAACCTCAGCTTTTTTTTCTGCTCAAGATTGGACAGATCTCGCCTTTTTTCGACTTCTTTAATCTATTTTTTGGTATTCGACTATATGAACTGTGATGATCACCCTACGCTTCCTAATACATTTTTGAAGTACTTTTCAAGGCGCTTCCGATGGTGCTAATTGTAATAAGTGTTTTGATTGAAACTATTGAGCAATTCAATAAAATTTGAAATGAGGTTTTTAGCGAAAATAGCCATATTCTGTGTATGAAAGCCTCATAAAAGTGGTTTCAGAGGTTGCTCTGGATTGAGAGAAACATTTTAATTTGATATATGCCATAGTAAAAGTCTTTATTCTCAAGGCGAAAAATGCGATCCTTTGATTTTCGTAAAAAAACCATGAGGGGTACCTCATGCTTTTTGGTTGATTTTTGGCCATATTTTTTAGGTTTTCAAAAAATTGAGCAAAGATGTCAGGAATTTACTACTACTCAAGTACAATTGGTTGGCGTCATTCCGGTGACTCAGAAAGGCCTACATGTCAAGATATGAAGGCTTGGAAACTGTCCAATTTGGTTATATTTTGTTTTATGGCTTTTATTTACACGGCATGAACCACATCTTTAGTAGCTAAAGCCGTCTGGAAGGGCAGTTCTGCAACCTGTGCAGCTTGTAATTTCAACAGGAGACATATTGATTTTGTAAGACTAATTCATACGAATTTTGATGCCCTATGTTGCTGGTAAGCTTATTATTAACAATGCAAATGAGAACCCGAATTTGCTGCTTGAACACTATAGTTGTACACCTTTGCTTGGCTACGGTATATTCGATCAGGACTAATATCAACAAATGTTGAATTAGATGCAATATCACTACACTTGACGACGGTGTCACCCTGCGGGCTGTCGCCGTAGACATTCCATATCATTAACAATAATAAACTCAGCTATAAATGTAGATTTTAAACAATCCATTATTAATAAAGAAGGAGAGAAATCGAATTTACTACTAAGATACTACGATTTTGCATATTCGCTTCGCAACAATCAAGCCCTCGTATAGATCAATACTATGAAAGGCTGGACTGGATTATATGTGAATACAACACGTAGAAAGACATGGCTTACAGATTTACTGAGTTTATTAAAGATGCATGCATTGAATACCCCAAAGAGTAGCACGCTTTATTATGTTGCCTTTGTTGCAGAAGCGGGCCCATACTGTTTAATTTCATTAATAGGATGCTATCTATTGCACGGCATGAGATAGTAAAAAGATAACATACATGAAAAATTGTCTTTTAATACTATCTATACGATACAATGTTTGCCACAATATTCATTACATACTGTTTCTCAATCGCTTGATGACCGTGTGGAATATACAAAATAATCCAATCAGACTGCAGATAATAATCTTCATAAACTGCTACTGTAGTGGAATTAGGTTCTCGAAACTTTGTGGTACTATATTCGCTTTTACTATGCCATCGCGTTGTTGAACAGTTCGTAATATATGAATGTTATTTTGAATGTGTACTAGAGCTGATTCGTTTAAAAGTTACTGGCAGATAAATGTAAAATTATCAAAAAGTTTCCGCATAGAATGTTACAAAGTGTTTTTTTTATTTAATGGTGTTGTGAGTATAAGTAACAGATTTAGATAAATGTATATGTCTCAGCAGTATAAGTGAGAAAAAAAATAACCTTTATTATTTTTGATATTCATATTAACTATAAAAGTTACTAACAAAGTCTGTGTGCACCTGTGTCGTGTGTATAGGTATAGTTTTAGAGTAGACTTAGATAAATGTATATAAAAGAATAGAATTGAGATATAAGATGATCTTTATTGTTTTGCAAACTAAGTTGATATTTATACTAAATTAAAAAAAGTTACACACAAAGTCTGTGTGTACCTGACACCTGATAATGAAAAAAAAAAGGGGGGAGCTTGCTTCTTTTATACTGACGCTGAAAGCTCACGTCTGGGCCACACTTCTTTATATAAAGACGCTGATGGTCTCACGTCTGACATTTAACGAACATTGAATTCTTATATATGGTGAGAAAATCTTAGTATTGTCAAATTGTGGTTTCTTTTAAATATATCACATTTTCATGGGTAAGAATGTAATGAATTGAAAAGTTTGAAATTGATTTGATCGAATTGACTATTCCCAATAACGGAAAATAATTTAGTTAAAATGTAATGGCAGAAGGTTCTTTAAACTATTCCGGTAATATGAGTATTGCTGATTGCTGGCTAGCAAATTCAGAGTGAATTCTTTTGGAGTTGTACTGTATAAACGTGCATTCAACTACTATCAAGGTAAGCTCTAGGCCATGGTATGGTATAGCACCACGGAAGTTTCATATATCGGATACTGGAAAATATGAACACAAAAGCGCCATCGTAGTTAATCAGAGATTAAAGGCTCTTCTTCCCAGAACATGGCGTATCTGATCAAGTGATTTCTTGTTTGCTATTTGGCTATGGATTGCGTGATATGCTGTTTCAAGGCAACACTTGTTGGTATCATTGGCCTTGAGGGGGTTATACCGTAGTCAAACAAAGGTGAATGGCCATTACAGTCAAGCATTTAATTCAACTTTTGTTAGCATTAATTTATATAAGGTTTTATCTAGGGAGGCGAAGGTGCAATACCAAAATAGTATTCAAGCATCTAGCCCAATACATGATAACAGCGATTTTAAAGGTGGTTTTACCGTAGCGAAGCCAAAATGTAAAGGCTT